CAGCGTCAGTTAGCTTTAGAACGTCGAGATGTGAACACCTCCGATCCTAGGAACTACTAACTCCTTCATACTGCTGCAGATGCCTACTCTAGCAACGAATGCTGCTAATGTCTAAGCCTCCAGATGTCCAAATCCACAAAACAGTCGCATGTCCTGTGGTATGAGAGGCAAATCGTTCCTCCCCACACATGTTACAGACTGCAAACCCAGTCGCATGTCCTGTGGTATGAGAGGCAAATCGTTCCTCCCCACACATGTTACAGACTGCAAACCCTCCAGGACCGTCGCCTAGATGTGAACCCTTTGCTGCCAAGATGCTGACACCTGCAAGCTGACCATCATGAAGCTCCAACTGTTCCATTCCTTTCAACACTAATAATCAATGTTATTTCATTTTCAACCGTTTAGATACTCCCAATTAAGGATCAATATTTTTAAACTTTGCTTTTATTTCTCATTTCATGCTATTATTCAATAAAGTTACCGAATATCCCTTTAGTTCTTTTATTTGTGTCAACAAATATATATATATATCTGTTCAACTAGTTAAATACCGAGTTCTCAACTTTTATTACCACAGTATTCAATTCAGGGATCAAATTAGATTTAAACCCCGAGAAAAGAAAATTAACCAACAAACTTCGACGTTGTATTTGCTGCAATGCATATCAAAGGTATTAAATACGTAAATCAAAAGACTTAACACTTATAAAGTGGCATGTCCTATTGACAAGGTACCTAAACTCAAAAGATTCAAGTGTTTAGATTTAATTTTGAAAAAATTTGCCAGAGGCAAGTCTAATTCAATTTACAATTTACATAATACCCTAGTTGTCGCGCCTCTAAATCACACTAGTTGATTGATTTGTAGGAAGAAAAATAATATGTCAGTCTAATGTTCGATATGGATACTTTTAGATAGTAAGTGAGTATAGGTCTAGCAATAAACTAATCTAAATCAGAGCGCAGTAAAGGGACTTCTTTATTAGTCAAGAGTTTCAAAGTTTCAACAGTCAAAGATGAAAGAATAAGTTTTTGATTTATAGTTTATATATAATGAGTTAATGTACTTTATATGAATAGAACCGATTTAATCAAATTCAATTAATCAATTCTAAAGTTACCAGTTGATATTTACAAATTATCTACACCAAAAACACTGTTGTAACTTATAAAACTTTTTTTAAAAGTTGAAACAATTAATGCATCTTGTTGAACTTGTTTGAGTTTATAAGAGCAGTGTTTTTTTTTTATAAAATCATAAGCCATGCAATACATAAACAAAGAGAAATAAAGAAATGTATAAAATTAAAGATTAAAATGAAACGGTCTCAGAGCCTACCCTCTCCAAACTACAGACAGGAGAAAAATAGAAGAGTAATTCCGCACAAGGTTGACCCACTTGAGGTAAAATAAAATGCAGGAAAATATATATTTATACCATATACGTAGATAAAAAAGGCTTTTAGGCGCTTCTTGCCCTTTTTTTCTTAACAATTTTGCTATAGCCGCCATTTTTTCAGGAGTGCTTCAATAAACACAAATTTTCGCAGATTTTGGGAGTCTTCAATTGGAAATTTGAAACTCAAATATGAATTTGACAGCAATATCCTACTTTTTACGAGTTGCTTTCCAATTTTCTAGATATCTTTAGCAGTTAAAGTATTNTTTTGTTTTATCAAGTTACATTTAGTTTTATCAAGTTACATTTAGTTTTATCAAGTTACATTTAGTTTTATCAAGTTACTTTTAGTTTTATCAAGTTACATTTAGTTTTATTAAGTTACGTTTAGTTTTATTAAGTTACATTTAGTTTTATCTATGTTTTAGGAAGAATTAATTCGAGCAGTACTTATGTACAAAACTGATAAAAGTACTGTACACCGCAGAGCAGAAATGTTAATGAATTATAATCAGGATAATATGCTCAGCAAAAGATCTTAAATTTGTCTCTTAACTGTAAACAAATTCTGTTTCCTTTAAAAGGGAGTGACCGGCTATGTAAGGTAGTTGAACTGAGTATGCAGTGCTGTGGAAAACTTCTTTCGGATTCATTTGAGACATATAAAACTTTTTAAAACTCTGTAAATCCTGAGTTTGAGCGCAAATTTGACGATCAAAACTCCTACTTTGGGGTGAATACGTTTTCAGAATTAGTTTTTTTAAATTTTTAAATAACGACGACATCAAATGTGAAAAAGTTCTGAAATAAACTTCAAACGTCATGCACATGAACATATTGAGAAAATAAAAATGAATCTTTTTATCGAAAATAAGTATCTTGTTCAATTATTAGTTTCTATTATCTCATTATTCTGGTTTCTCATTATTCACAAAGATATTCTGCAGATTTTCTAGAATTATTATTGAAAAGACGACATTTGAAGAATTTTAAGAAATCTGCAAATAAATTCAAAGAAAATAAGAAATTCAATATAATAATGAAAACGAAATAATTGATTTTAGCATTGACTATTGACAAATTTTGTTGTTATTTAATAATTTAAAAAAACTAACTCTGAAAACGTATCCACCCCAAAGTAGGAATTTTGAACGTCAAATTTGCGCTCAAACTCAGGATTTACAAATCTTTAAAAAGTTTAATATGTCTCAAATGAATCCGAAAGAAGTTTACCACACCACTGCATACTCAGTTCAATTATAACCTTACATAGCCGGTCACTCCCTTTAATCATTAATTTTTTCTTCTCTAGATCAACAATTTGGGTTTTCAGTTTTCACTGCCTTTTTGGGACTTACAAAAAAATGTTTGCAACATATTTATTTTAAAGATTGTGAGTCGAGGTATTCTAAAAGAAATCAATCAACTGGTTTCCCTACTTCAGGTAATGATAATTTTTTTGTTCCGTTTTTAACATGGCAGTGTCTCTAAGACGTAATTGGTATGAAAATACTAAAAAGTGAAAATGTAAAAACAATTTGCAAGAATGTACAATGCCATCTGGATATTTATTGTACTCTAGAGACCGGGTTGTATCTGGTTAGATCTGGACATTTATTGTACTCTAGAGGTTGGGTTGTATCTGGTTAAATCTGGATATTTATTGTACTCTAGAGGTTGGGTTGTATCTGATTAGATCTGGATATTTATTGTACTCTAGAGGCTGGGTTGTATCTGGTTAGATCTGGATATTTATTGTTCTCTAGAGGCTGGGTTGTATCTGATTAGATCTGGATATTTATTGTACTCTAGAGACCGGGTTGTATCTGATTAGATCTGGATATTTATTGTACTCTAGAGGCTGGGTTGTATCTGGTTAGATCTGGATATTTATTGTACTCTAGAGGCTGGGCTGTATCTGGTTAGATCTGGATATTTATTGTATTCTAGAGGCTGGGCTGTATCTGGTTAGATCTGGATATCCAAGAAATATTAAATCGTCTGGTTAACTCTGCACAACAAATTCAAAAGTTTAGGTAAGTTTAAGTAAAATGAATGATAAAAATTGCTTTCAAAAGTTCGGGTTAGTTATAATTTAAAAAATGAAGAAAAACTTTTCAAAAGTTTATAATTTTATATTTTGAAGAACATTCTAAACATTTCAAAAATATTTTTAATATAAAATTTTACGATGAAACATTTTTATTTCGTTCTTTCTTAACAAAAACAAGAAAATTACAAAAAAGTGTATAATTAGAATAAATAAATTCCTTTATTTCAGTGTTAGCCTGGAGAGTCGATGTTTTTATCTAGGTTCGTACTGTCACATTTCATAACATTCATTTATAAAGATTAAATCCTTTTTAAATAATTTGCTTTATTTTTAGAGAAAAATTAAAAAATTATAAAAAGTATTTTTTTAGGAGAAATCAGACAGGAGGAGAGAACTGTGCATTTGGTTGATATAATTACTAGGTTGGTGCAAAGTATAAAATACAGGGTTGTGCAAAAAAAAGATTTGGGGTTTTCAGCACTTATGCAAGATTTTGTCTTTTGATCCTTTTATTTGGTGTAAAACTATGTCGAATATTCGAAAATCTCTCCGCTAACTTCAGTTAACTCAGTTAACCAATATTGTTCAAGAAACAACAAAGTATCCATATAATAAAAGAAGACATTTGTATATATGTTCCCTATTGCCAGACAAACTGCTGGACCGAATGGGCTGAAATTCTTTGAGGGAACCCATTGGTACCCTGGGGGTAACATAGGCTAAACAAATTCTAATTTTTTTTTCAAAAATCTATTTTTTTTATCGAGTTTTTTTCAAAAATCCTTTTTTTGGGGCCACCCTGTAGATATTTATATATACATACCTCTTCAAGAGTTTATCTTATTGTTTACCTTTTCTCTTTTATACTTTTGTGTTGGCAAAACAGAAAAGGATGAAAAGAAAATTTCATAAGTTTACAGATGGATGAATAATAGAATACTAAAAAGTTGTAAGCCGGACAATAAAGTGATCCATAGAAAAACACTTTATTGACCCGACTCAAAACCAGCCGAGACAATAAAGTGGGTTTGAAATATTTATGGTAAAATAAGTCTGGCTGAGGACGGGATATACTATAGAGATTACAAGGAATGTTATCATAAATGTTTTTTTCGCAGTTAGAAAAAAGTTAACAATAATCTATTTTGTTTACAGATACCTGGAATCCATTAATACATTAGGTAAAAATATTACAAAATTTATCAAATACTTAATTATAAAGAAATCAAGTTTTTGACACAAACTAAAAATTTCTAAACCCCAAATCTTTAAAACCTGATGGTTGGTATCTTTAATATTTATCTGACAGAATTCATGGTTTTAAATATCAAAGATCTACGACATCGGGCTGCAGAAATATTGGGATTAGAAAATCAGAGTTTGTGACAAAAACTCAGTTCCTTTGAAAAGTTTTGATGCTAAGTTCTAAATATAAGGTTCGGAGATGAGAAAGGAGAAAGATGTTGCACAAAGTTTAGTTAAGGTTAGAAAATTAACTAAACTTTTTTAATTATCTGTTTAGAAAATTCAAGTTTTAGTAACCTTTTATGGTTGAATATAGACATTTTATACAGTACTTATTAATTATCGATTTATATTTCGATACGGCCATAAATGTATTTATTATTTCTTCCAAAAAATTTAATTTTCTAATCCCTAGATAGAGTAAACCTTGGATATTTCAAACTTAGACTATTTGATCTAACATAATTTATAGTTTAAAATATTAAAGGTCTACTATATGACATCGGGTTGCAAATAGAAAGTGATTAAAAAATCAGAGTTTGTGGCAAAAACTCCGTTTCTTTTTTATTAAGATTTATATGATAACTTAGTTTAAAAAGTTTTAGGTCGTCACTTTCAACTCTTATCTTTTTTCTTTAATTTTTAACAATAATAATTATTTTTGTGCGCAATAATTTCCAATACAAAAAAAAATTGTTCAAAAAACGTTTTTGAAATATTATTTTTATATTAATTTTCTTTAACAGATTTTCTATTTTAGAGTAACAATATCAAATTTGAGTCTGATCCTAACTACTCACAAAGAAAGCAAAGGTACAGGAAATCTTCAAGAGCAGTTTAAAGATGATTTTCTTTTGAGACTTATAAAATCCCGAATGTAATGTTTCAGGTTAAGTCTGTGTGAAGATTCACAGAATAAGTCTGAAAATGCCGCAAAACCAGGTAAATTAAGGAAAAGAATGTTTATCTTATCCTTATCTAAATCTAATTTAACGTATTTTTATCAATTTTCGTGGAATCGTAGTTTTAATATTTTGTGTTTTTAGAGCTTAGACAGTCAGATATTGAAAGTAGGTAAAGTAAAAATCAATTTATTTTAGATAACAACTTTTTATACAAAATACTTTTATTTAAAATAGGAAACAAATTTTAGAAAATTATTATTTTAAGGCCATTTTGATTTTTGTTTAATATTTTGTACAACAATGAATATATATTTCAATATCTTACCAATACTTTTCAAGGACTGGGTCTACAAGATTATCAGTGGACTACTCAGCTAAATTAAAGGAAAGGAAATATATACCAAATATCAAAACTTAAAGGGAGTGTTTGCGAAAAATGAAAGGGGGTATAGGCTTGATGCGATAAAAAGCGCTTTTGATCGGTACTAATTTTACTTCTATCTGATGCGTCTATAAGGAGAAAAATATTAAAGTTAAAGACGTTTTAATATCTGAATGATTTGTTTGAAATTAAATTGAGTTTTTTTACGGTCTAAGTAGTATGTTGCAATTTTCTGAATTTGTATGGGCGCTAAGTTATTCGGTATGAGACTTCTTTAACAATTGTCTCCTTATAGACGCAACAGATAGAAGTAAGATTAGTAGCGATCAAAAGCGCTATTTTATCGCATTAAGCCTATACCCCCTTTCATTTTTCGCGAACACTCCCTTTAACAAAAACTTCTATATTTTTTAATTCACTCTCAAAAGCTTTTACAGGTCAAAAATTAATTAGATATCCATGATTTTCTATTTAAAACTAATTATTTTCAATTGTTGTTTATCTACAAAAATGACTTGAGTTGACATTGTACGACTTCGTGACCCCTAGTTTTGATTTACGCACTAGTATGAGGAAAGGAAGTTTAGTCCCATCTTGGGAGTTAGGATCTAAAACCAATTCCTCTTTAATAAACGACGTTATGACTGAAGACATTCGAAATTACTATGGCTTGATATGCCCCCGAACTCCCTTGACCTCCCTTGAATAATATTGGTGTAACCTGGTTGTATTAAAAGGATGGATCAGATACAGATAGATCTGTCAATCATTCCTTCTCCAGGCAGTCTGATCGACTGGACAGATTATCGTTAGATCATGGGAGACGATCAATTCAACTCAGAAGAATTGAAGATTATTCAACCAGTAGATCAGATCCTGAACGATCGACGGCGATCAGACAAAGGTGCTATTTTTTTAAATAAAATACTTAATTTATTTATTGATTTCTCGTGTTTTAGACGAAGTTTGTTTGAAAACAATCGGGAAAGATATTGTCTCGAGTTTTTGCCAGAAGAGCCAATGATCGAAGATTTCGATATTCAAAGGAAAGCCTCGAAAAAGGTTTCGATTGCCGAGAACTTAAATTGTGATTACAGTGACGAATCCAATGAGCATTCAGAAACAGGTATTCAAATTAATTCTTTTAAAAAGGTAAAATAAGTGACAGCAATAATATAAACTGAAGAAAAAAAAACGCAATATTCATTACAATTTAAGGACATAAGACACAAAACCCTAGATAATATTGTGAATCGAATATGCCACGCTATAGGTAGAAAGTCAATTTTATGTTTACAGGTTTACAATCCCTTTACTAGTTCAGTTATACAGGGTGTCCCAATAAACATGGGAATTAAATGACGACTTTTATATCGTCTTCGATCCAAGTGGCATTTTTAACAATAATTGCGGTATTCCAGTTTACACATCTAATATCGAAAACGCCTAGTCTTGAGATTTTTAAAATGAAATCCACCATTTTTGTATTTTCAAAATTGACGGAGATATTGCAAAACGTGTACTAGTTTATTTAATAAATTAAAATAAACTTAATATCTAATATCTTTGTCCATTTAAAAGACACGAGGCCCCTTTATGAGAAGCTCGTAAGACAAACAGCCTTGTTTTTATATGTTCTTCGCCATGCATTAAATATTAGAAATCAAAGACGACTTTCGAGTCGCCCTCAATTCCCATGTTTATTGATATTGTATGATAATTATTTTGCGGAGAAATGATTTTATCTTAAAAAAGCAATGTAAATTTGCAAAGACCTGCTGTTTTTAAAGAATTTTGCATATTCATAAAAGTAGAAACAATTATAATTGTATTAATTAGGGTTCTAAACATTGTAATACTTAAAGGTTTACCTTTAAATTTAAATTTCTCTTTTATATGAGACCACTTTCTCTACGCAGGGTTTGAAACTAATAATATCACATATTTTAATAATTTTAATATTTTAATACCTAATGTTGTAAACTTTTTATATATTTTAAACTTTCACCTTTGGATCCAACAGAATTGATATTTTGAAATATCAAAGGTCCATGACATCAAGTTGCCAAGAAAAGGGACTGGTAAATCAAAGCCTGAAGCTATTCGTTATTTAGATCCAAATTTTTAAGCTAACATGATTAAGACATTTGTTTACTTGGAAAATCTTGAAATAAAAATTTTATTGTTTAGACTGTAAAGAGGAAGAGATGGTTTTTGAACTGGGAAATCATAAAAGCATAGAGAGTTATATTAAACAAATTGTTTTCATTATTTTATCTATTTTTATCTATTATTTTTTCTCAAATATATTTAAGTTTTAGGATTAAATTGCTTATTTTGAGAGAAATTTTTCCGGGTTCTGATACAACCCTTAGTTTTAGATAAAAGAATTCAAATTGACTATTTTGTTTAACATAATTTAAACACCAAAGATCTACGACATCGGGTTGTAAAGATATAAGGATTAGAAAATCACAATTTCTGTCAAAAACTAAACATGTTTCAAAACTAAGTACAAGGAATTGAGTTTTTGCCACAAACTCAAATCTTCTGATCCCAATATTTTTGCAACCTGATGGTGCACACCTTTGATATTTCAAACTTAGATTATTTTATCTATAAGTATCAATAGTTTGAAATATCTAAGGTCTACGACTCGACATTGGATTGCAAAGATATAGAGATCAGAGTTTGTGGCAAAAACTCAACTCCTTTGCATCATTATTAATCCCTATAAAATATACTAGTAAAAAGGTTACAGAGAACTTCACTATACAAGGGTAAAAATATTTCAAGATAACTTTGCGACATATAATTTTCATGAGTTTTAAACAAGAATTAAAAACTATTAAATCTAAAATTTTCTTATCATAAGATCTTGGGAAAAAGATTTACATTAGAATATTTGCAAAATTTTGAACAAAAGTTAAATTTGATCGGATTCCCTCATTTATTGGCAGATGTAAATCACGGGCAGCAGTAGTACATTTGAATTTCCGAGCCGGGTCAACCTTTCCGGTCCCAGTTTGTACTGTACCTAGCTCTATGGACAGGACTAGCCGGTGCAACAAGGTTGACGCGGTCAGATTTCATGCTTCATATAGGGTGGATTTACTTTTAATAAAGGGGCAGATTTGCGAGAAATCCCGATAAAAATAGGGTCACCTCGATATTGTGAAATTGTCATAATATCTCGAATATGCTTTTAAAAAATTCCGACCAATCCCTTTTTTCTCTTTTTCATTCTTACTCAACCCCCACCATGTCCCATTCTACCCTTTTATCTTTCTACCCTTCTATCCTCCTACCCTTCTACCCTTTTATCTTTCTACCCTTCTTCCCTTTTATCTTTCTACCCTTCTTCTACCCTTTTATCTTTCTACCATTCTACCCTCCTACCCTTCTACCCTTTTATCCTTCTACTCTCCTACCCTCCATCATTATATTTATTTTGTTGCTTGAATAATCATGTTTTTGCTTTATTGTTGGCTAAAGCACCCCTGCTGTTTGAATAGGAATAATGTGAACACTTAATTTGTTTGACAGACAGTTCTTTCCACATTATTAACCTTCTCATCAATCTATCTATCTATATGTCTATCTATCTATCTATCTATATGTCTATCTATCTATCTATCTATCTATCTATCTATCTATCTATCTATCTATCTATCTATATATCTATCTATCTATCTATCTATCTATCTATCTATCTATCTATCTATCTATCTATCTATCTATCTGTCTATCCATCTATCTATCTATCTATCTATCTATCTATCTATCTATCTATCTATCTATCTATCTATCTATCTATCTATCTATCTAAAATGTTGTCTATTTTTATTATCTACCTCTTTCCATCTATCTTTCTTTCTGTCTATCTGATTCTCATGCCTACTACGACTTATCTCTCTATTTGTAATAAATATTGGGTAACACGATATTCTGTGAACCTGTAGTACATCGTTCATTATTAACTATCTGGGTTTGTAAATTTCTACGTAAAACCTATTATTCATTTGAACTGAGCTTCAAATGAATATGTGTAACAAATACACCAATCCCCATATCTGTTAACCTGAACATACCTAAATATAATAAACATGAGCTACAAAAACATGCACCGTGATTAGATTACCTATGTTTATATCTGGCCATGTTAATCCTTTAAATACGTAAAATCAACTAAACTACACTGTAAACATGTGTGGAGATAGCTTAACTGCTTTCCATCTATCCTCACTAATCTTATAAATATGTACATTAAACTTGTAATTATGTCAATTCACATTAACGTGTAACATAGAGACTCCGTACAGATTACTGAGCGAGAGTAATCATTCCCTGTTTTAATAAACAGGTTGAATATATTGATTTGGCATTGGTAGTTGCATACTTTTGTTCATAGAGGATATTGATAGCTTCAATCACTCCCATCGGTAGTGGCATTGATAGTTCACAGGATTGCAGCCGTGTGGATCATGTCCTAGTTAAGACATTGATCGATTTAGAGTTTGTGTCCCTGTTGACATTCATAGCTGGCCCTCATTGAAACATACAAGCTGAAGATCACGGCCGGTTGTAGTGGCGTTGATAGTTCACAGGATCGTAGCCGTGTGGATAATGTCCTAGTTGAGACATTGATTGATTAAGAGCTTGTGTCTCTGTTGACATTCATAGCTGGCCCTCATTGAAACATAGAAACGTTGAAGATCGCACCCAGTGGTAGTGGGGTTGATAGTTCACATGATTGTAGCTGTGTGTTGACATTGATAGTTAAGAGATTCTGAGTTGTACCTGGATAGATACGGGTTCGAGAAACTGTTATGGAGTAGGGAATTTAAATACATATCTAACTGCTCTTGAATCTATCTTTATTGCTTTATCTCTAACTTGATCAATATGGGATTGGATTAGATACCTAGGTCTCTAAATGGGATTGAAATGGATACGATAGCCTAGCAAGAGCATAGAAATGGGCTCTTGTGATAGTTTGAATATGTCACACTGATTTAACAGTTCTGTCCTTGTCAATTATTCCAGTAATCTGTGACTTTCGACCACAATTTAACCAATTAAACATATTTTTTTCGTTTTTTCTCTGAAATGGGAATGACATTGAAATGGGAATGATATTGTGTGAATGATATTGAACTGGGAAAGATATTGAAATGGGAATGATATTGAAATGAGAATGATGTTAAAATGGGAATGACATTGAAATGGGAATGATATTGAACTGGGAATGATATTAAACTAGGAATGATATAGAACTGGGAATGATATTGAACTGGGAATGATATTGAACTGGAAATGATATTGAACTGGGAATGATATTGAACTGGGAATGATATTGAACTGGGAATGATATTGAACTGGGAATGATATTGAACTGGGGATAGTATTGTAATATGAATGGTATGAATATGACACATTATAAAGAAGATGAGTAATGGGGTCATTAAATGTGTTTGACTCTAAACGTGCTCTAGACCCATTGAGTATAAAAATGTATATAATATATATAAACATGAATGATAGATGTTCAACGCTTCATTTTCATCCAACTCAATCAAGTTTAAACATTGTCGACATCACTCTTTGGGTTCAACATACGTTCAAAATTATAAAGGGATGGTTTAAAGATTGGATAAACGTACTGCACGTTTATAATGAAATATTGATCCGAGGTTTACGAAATTTCTTTACGTTTAATAGATTAAGAAAAAATTGGATAAATAGATTTTAATGAATATAAACTGTTTATAGGGAGGAACAATTTTGTTTAGAGGCAAAGGCGGAAAAATAAAAACTGCAAATTCATCTTTAACATCTGCTGATGTAAATAAGTGTCTTAGGCGAATTTTGGTCGTTGATGATAAAATCTTTCAGTTCAATTTTGATCAAAATTTTTAGTTTTTTTAATTCTGCTTGAATATCCGTGTTCATTTACTAATTAATTGAATTTATACCTTTAATTTAATTAAGACCTTTGATGGTTTTCATAATTTATACTAAATTGAAGATAAAATATCGACATTTTGAACTCTGCAACCTCAGATTTCCTAGAGTTTTAATAGTTTTAGCTTAATCGTTGTTTTATGTTCAAAAATACAGAAGATGTAAATGATATGAGATGCGCGCGTGTAAAATGTATTTAATACGAGCTTTATCGATTTTCATCCGGCTTCGTGGTTGGAAACGTATTTAAAGGTTGTCGTTCTATAAATTTGCACAATTCGTTTAGTAAAAATATAGAAAATTCCGGAAGCTTCCCGCCAATTTATTCTTCGCATCGAAAAGTGGGATTTTCAAATTTAGAGTTAATGTTGCTAATTAGTTTCATCCATTTAATATTGACAAAGGAATTGATTCTTTGTTACAAAATCTAATTTTCTAATCCCTATATCTTTGCAATCCAATGTCGTTAGTTTGGTAATACAATTTGGTACAATGTGTTTAGGAAACAGTTAAAAGTTATAACCCTGCAAACCCTCTAGATTTGGCAGTTGTAATTCTCTGTTGCGCTCAATACTCCGTGAAATTCCAAAACAGAGAGAGGGGGATTGAATTTTGTAGATCCAGAAAAATATTATCTGTGGGATGCCTGCGTAGAGACTGGCAGCTGGTGGGGTCTTAAATGTAAGACATGTGGCCGCAGCGCTCGGCCCCCTAGCCTGTCCTAGCCGCAGCGCTCGGCCCAGAAAGTGTCTTAACCTAACCTAACCCTAAATAAATACTAATTTCTGGATCTACAAACTTCCTTTTCTCCTTCAGCGTCAGTAGATCTTAGAATTCGACTATATTTGTTTTCCCCATAAATAACAAAAAGCTATAGTTATTACACGTGGATTTAACGGTTCTGTCAATAATCCAGAAAGTTTTGACTTTCGATCACAAATTGACCCATAAAACATAATTTTTTAACCTTTTTTTAAAAATACTTTTTTGTCGGCATATGCATTTTGAATGAAAAAGTATAAAAAAACAAATCCGTAAGGTAAAAGGTTGATGAATTATAGACCAAAACACTTATGATTTCAAGTAGAAGAAACCGAATGCTGCTCACTCTGGTTAGTCATGTGTGATTAGTTAACTCATTTCTCTATTTATCTTCAGAATATGTTTTCTACAGTTTATACCTAACAGGGTTGTTAATAATGCTTGAGATATCCTTGTTTTTGCACCTAAAATATTCAGATAATTATTTGTGGTTTCTCTATATATAAGGGATTTCAGAGGCAGCGACAAAGCAGGAGATTTGCAGAATATAACTTAATCAAAAACGATATTATTTTCTATAGAAACATGATTCCCAAATGTAAAAACTAAAAAAACACCCCATTTTTTGCTCAGCTAGACAAAAGTAGGTTTTTGTTAAAATGAAGGGTCACTTGAAATAGCGTCATGTCATCATATATCAGTCCCAATAAAATGTCTGCCCTAACTGAACCTGCTCTAATGTGAACCTTGTTCTTTGTTTTACCTTATTTACAATGCTTGTTGGATTCTTGTTTAAACGCTTGTTATGCAAATTCTTTCATAATAAATTGGGAGATTAGAAACATCGAGATTATATCGTTTTAAACTCCCCCACTATACTGGGCAGATATAGTAAAAAAAACATGGCAGAAAAGGGTTCGAAACACAGACTAGATATTCGCACACTACTCAAAAGCTCTCAAGGGCTAAGCTAGGCAGGCCTATAGTTGTATGTACCGGCACGCAATGCTACATTTTCACGTAAGGTTTTTGACTGCCATTTAACGGCCACTTGTTGCATAAATACCCAAGGGTTAAGTTTTAAAATTAAAAAAAAAACTTCTAGCATAAACCATAAAGTTTATAAATTTTGAAGGTTTTGTATTTCGTATCCAAAGGATCCTTTACTATCTCTGAATACAGACGTTGTATTGCATTGATCTCCATCTGATGTAGACTATTATACGGATTAATTCAATTCCTCTTCGATATCCCGTGGTAGTTCTTGGTCATACCCTGGCAGAGGATTTTTAATTGAAGATAAAGCATGTAATATCAAATATAAAAATTCCAACATCGGATATCGAGATCAAGAAATAAGCAATCAAGATTAGTGCTGCAATCCACACAAAATTCCGACTTCAGTTTAATTCATAATTGTGAAATGTGGAAAAAGAAATACTGAATTTTCAACCATTTAAAAACATGAAACTAAAAAATCAGTTTGTTGCTCAGAAAGTGTTAAACGAAACTTTCGTCATTAACTGATCTTTCACAGAATAATTGAAATGCGAAAAAATACTAAAGGATTGAATAAATACTTATGATCACCTCGAATCATAATCATTAGTACGCTGCAGGGAAGAAAGACCAGGAATCCTCACTTTTTAATCACGTTATAAATATGCGGCACTGTATGGGAGAATAATAAACAAACTCACAATTATGCAGTTCAACATGCATATCGTCTTCCTATTCCATAGTTGTATAGGTATCACATTTTGAATAAAGATATTGGGGCTCCTGGTGCCCCTTTCTTGGCATGGTGAGCTTAAAGTACATTATATATATATATATCGTTATACAATTCTAAATGTGAATGTGTCAGCTCTAGATGAATAATACTGGATCATGATCAGGACTCAAGAGTGAAAGGTTAATGTTTGTACAACGTTTTTATTCATCTTTACACAATCACCCTCCTCCTCCTCATCCCCCTTCCCCCTCTTCCATTCCCCCTCCCTTCCTCTCCTCTTTCTCTCCCCCTTCTATCCCCTTTCTTCTCCCTCGCCCCCCTTCCCCTCCTCCTTCCCAAGATAAACTGTCACTACAAACTTGAAAAGAGTCCAGAAAGACCCAACATGAATGATTCTCTTCCCTGGATTCTTAAATTTGATTTCATCTCAACGCCGCTCAGTACACTTAATTGACGTATCAGATATGACGGTTCAGTATAATATGTCTTGATTTCCTAAACTTTTTTTTCATGGAACTTTCTTGGTGGTTTCCTAACATACCAAGACAAAGGAACTGAGTGTTTGCCACAAGTTCAAATTTTCAAATTCCTATATCTTTGTAACCTAATGATTTAAACCTTTGATATTTCAAACTTAGATTATTTGATCGAACATAATTTAAAGTTTGAAATATCTATGGTCTAATACATTGGGTTTAGAAGATATAAGAATTACAATATCAGAGTTTGAGGCCAAGACTCATTTCCTTTTCATTATGTTGTTTTAGTGTCCAATCTACGTTCTTTCAAACGCTTTCACATAAAATTATTCATTACAAAGATATTTATTATTTATTTAAAATTAAAATGTACTATACTGTAAAAATTTAGGTGGGCGTCAACAATAATTGGTTAGGTTTGCTGGTAGGTCAATTGGTTGGTTGGTCGGTTGGTTCTTTGATCAATAGGTTTATTTGTCGCGCTCCTCAACTCGGACACAGTAGTCTCCAATAATCAGTAAATAGATATATTTCAAACCTGTAATAAAAAACGGGTATAGTAAAAAATAGAATGACAATGCATTAATTTAGTTTATATTTAAAATATATCTTACTAGTTTTTCGTGACCGAGTGAAAGGAGTGATTAGGGTTTGAGGGTTTGATGGAATAGTTAAAACATTTCTAAATATTTCTGAAAATATAAACCCGGTTTTAAGTGGAATAAACTATTGATTGCAAGGTTATTAATGGATTTAATCTTTCACTTAACAAAACGTTTCACTGTTTGTTGTTTCTTTGTCTGAGAGTATAGATAAATTTGAACAGAGACTTAGAAGTTGTATTTATGGTCAACAACTACACATTTATATCACAATATTATGGAGTATTTAATATTAAGAACTCTGTACATTTATTTGGGCATAATTTAAAAGTATTTAGATTTAAAAATGAATTAAAAAATACATTCACTGGAATTAAAAGCTTGTATGATAGTCGAGATAAGATAGCTAATATTGAGCTAGTCGTCACAACACTAAAATCAAATTTTTTCAACAATGTTGTCGCACAAATTTGAAATGCAATTTTTAAACAGACTTAAATGCAATATTAAGTAATAACAATAATCGTTTTCTTGAAACTATTTCGACACTCTCTTAGAATCCTGAATTAACGCATTAATTAACTATTTTGTTGTGTTTAAAGGGGTGAAGACACTATTTCAAAAAACAATCTATTAAAGAGTGGCATGTCTGGTTCACAACGGAACCCGTTAAACTTTTATCTGAGTAGCAATGAGAAAATATCGTAGAGAAACCACAATTTTAGCTCAGTAACATGGATATCTCATTCATCATTGGCCAGACTCTATTATTGGAGCATCACTTGATAATTACATTTAAACTGTTGAATCCAGGTTAAATCAATCGAAGCCTTTGTAAGAAAAATTGTTTTCTGAATTTGTATCATGCAATAACTCAAAATTTAAGAAATGAATTTTTGCATGGTAAAGTTAAAAACATGTCATAAATAATTTAACTAAAGGGATTGTTCACATTTTTGAAGGAAAAAACACATTTAATCCTATTTTTTAGAATTAGGAACACTATCAAACACAAATGTACAGAAGGAAAATATTTTGATACTTTTTGTTAAAAGAACCATCCCGCTTTTTGTTAAAAGAACCATCCCGCTTTTTTGTTAAAAAAAACCATCCCGCTTTTTGTTCAAAGAACCATCCCGCTTTTTGTTAAAAGAACCATCCCGCTTTTTGTTAAAAGAACCATCCCGTTTTTTTGTGTAAACATTTATTATGTCTAATAATTCTAACATGATAATTCACGATGTTCTGCTTTTGGACAGAAAGTAATAAATATTGCTGAACAGTCGGAAAGAAAAGATGTTTAATGTGTTCTTTTAAAAAGTGATTATTCCCTTTAATTTATTATATAATAATAATACTGATAACATATGTATTAAGATTGTTGATTTAAGGCAAACAGTCACTCTCTTGAAGAACATTAATCCTAAAAAAAATATCATGAGTATTTAAAAATTTTATTATTTACATATTTGAATGTTATAAAATTAAAAAAAAAAAAAAAAATTTTGAAAAATCTCTTTAAACTTGCTAAGTTTTAAATTATTTAACATCAATCATCATATTCTTTACAATACAATGGTCAGCCTATAAATCAATTCAATAAAGACGAATTCCTTTTCAGTTTTACAGAAAGTCATCAACATGGATTCATCACGTAAACATGTATATGCCAATCACTACTTTTATCATAATACATCTTCTTAGTCAATAATTTGCTTATTTTGGTGGTTAATTTAATAGCTAGTTATTAATAAAATGGACCCGGAAAAAAATATCTTATTTTTTATACTAGAAAATTTAAACAGAAAAATCCACGAAATACGATTTAAAGAGAAAAAATGGCAGATTGAAGAGCAACGGTTAACAGAGCTTAAATTTTTACTAAATAAAGAGGCGCGAAGCGCAATAAAAACCTGATTTTTAAATTCTTACCATCCAATATATGAGTCCAACTATTAAAGCTAGAGATAAAACGAACAACAGAAACAGAAGAAGATGTCCAGTTATATTAAATCCCTGAATAAGATTTTTCAAAACTTTTTAAAACATCTAATTTGGGGAAATAATCCAGTTAAGGTTGTTTACTCGTGTTAGTACATATAGTCCAATTTGTGTTTTTAAGAATTATTTTTTTCAAATGTTTTTCTATAAAAATTAATTTATGAAATCTAAGATTGATTCTTGACGGAAATGAGTCTTTGCTTCAAACTCAAATTTTTTCATTTCTATATCTTTGCAACCTCAGATAAATCAAACAGCTATATTTTTAGATTTAACAGAATTCATAGTTTGAAATATCTAAGGTCTACGACATTGAGTAGCAGAGATAAAGAAAGTACCAATCTAAATTCTATTTTAACCTGTTGTTTCCTGCAGAAACCAAGAGATATGGATTTGTGAGGTTTCTTCTGAGGCATATTTAAATCAGTCATTTCTATTTCCTAAACACAGCTCTGTCATTTCTATTCTATTTCTATTAAACATCTCTATTTCCTAAACATAGCTCAGTCATTTCTATTCTATTTCTATTAAACATCTCTATTTCCTAAACATAGCTCTGTCATTTCTATTCTATTTCTATAAAACATCTCTATTTCCTAAACATAGCTCAGCCATTTCTATTCTATTTCTATTAAACATCACTTTTTTCTTAAACATTTAGATCAGTCATCTCTTTTTCAACTGTATTTATCTGTATTTATACTCCTTGTTTTCTTGTTTTTGCAGTTGTTAACCTGCCTCAAATGTTATATTATATTATAGCTGAAGTTGAAACGTGACTTTACATAATATTAAAAACAAAACTTCCGGCTCTCTATTTTGATATCTTTCATCATCGAAAATATATTACCCCAGCCCCCTATCCCCCCATCACATACGCCTTCCCGTCAACCCCAAGGCCCCTACCTCACCTTTTCACAACAACTCTACAAAAAGACCCCCCCCCCCTCATTACTGCTCATTACGAATTACGATATATATATCAATTTCTATTCAAAATATATCTAATCAAAAATGTGAATATTCGATCCAAGAAAATATTGTTGTTAGGATTAAGGTGACTTCCCTGCTAAACAAACATGGAGTAAAAGATAAGAAAATTAGATTAAATATATTTCATAATTTTTTTCTTCCAAAATAAATATTTTAGATATTTTTTTTCGATGAGATTATGTTTACTTTTAAATTTTATGAGTTTTAACAATGTTGTGTAGTGAGAGCTAGGGTATGAGTATAAAAAATTTCAGTTTACACTGAACATAGCTAGCAGATTAACACAATATATAATATTTTACATATGCAGGCACATGTGCACATCTAATTCTAGCACTTCACAAACTCATACTCAGTAGTCAGTATACTTCAGATTATTCAAGAAACAAAATGTTTTAGTGAATATATATACATATATATCAGATGTATATTTGCTCTTCTTTGGTTTTAATTAAATAACATGAACTTTTGCCTGTCTAAATTTTATAAATCTCTGAAACAAAATCGTTCTTTAAAAACTTAAAGAAATCAACCATTAAATTCAGGAAAAATTGACAAAACTTGGTAAAAGAAAGTCTTTACCTTCCTTAAAACAATCAACTGATGTTCTTTAAAAGAATTTTACTTTATTAATTGAGAAGCTTTGAACAGTTGACTTATCAAGTATGACAGACTTTTCCTTATTTATTTAGAGAACTGCATGTAAATGTTGAACACCTTGTTCCCAAGTTTTTTTTTTTTTTATAAATATTAACTTTCTAGAAAAAGAAGAATATGAATCAAATAAAAACCGCGGTGGACATGAAATATTCTGGGTTTTCTGAGAATAAATGTGACTTAATTCGCGTTGCGTTTAGTGTTTACACAGTATGCTAGCGTACACTCCAATCTTACGCCTTTTTACACAACATTTATGAGACATACACACCAAGTTTTCTGTTCTCAGTGATAAGTCTGTAACCAATGCCTCACTCCAGAATGTCTTTCTAAATATTCTGTTATCTATACTAAAAGCTCTCAAACTCTGTGTTCTCTACCTTACAATGATAAACCTGGTCCATACATAAACAGAGTCTGCATTCAACTGAACTATATTTAGGTATAAAAGGTACAGGTAAATGAGCTGACCCTTGATACAATCAATGAAAGAGCATCTTTTTGCTGGTTTTGGAACTGTAACAAACATATATCTACAGGTTTTAATGATTTAATACTATTCCTTTTATTTATTACAAGTCAAAGGTTTGACTAGGGTACACCGTACAGCCCGTTGTAAATCGAGAATTTCCCTTTTTAGAATGTAACTTGAAATTACACTTACAAGTTACAGTTCCTTTGAAACTCCGATCAATTGACTCTCCCCCTCCCCTACCCGTCTTTTAGAGTTAATATTGATTTTAAACTTTGATTTTTTTAATACGGCTTTTTTAAGGGGGTTAAGCTCCTGTCAATGGTATCAATGGTTAGATAATATCCTTTGTCAAAAGATCAAAATAATTGCTGATTAGAATTAAATTTACCTCTCCTCCCTCTGGTCCTTCCTTGTTTTCTGTTGTCATTTTGATTCTTTACAAAACAAACAAAAATTCAGGTTTGTTTAGTTGGGTTTGTGTAAATCAAATACCAGGGTGTTTATGTTGAATGATTAAAATACAAATGTTTAGCTCCAGGTTTACATGACCTTAAAGTTTGTCCTTAAAGGGACTGTAAACGTAATTTCAAGTTACCCGTCATATAATTATTTCTACGGTAATGCCTGATTTACAACGGTAACCTTAATCAAGCTTTATCTGATCAAGTATGAATTAGATATTAATCTTTACAAATTAAAATGTCATCAATATGAGTTTCTCTACAAATATACTAGAATTAAATATTTTCTAATCTTAGAAATACAATAATATTATTCACATTAATGATCAGGAAATAGATTCATGAGTACCATTGTGAATAGGGCATTGCAATCTCTATACATTGAAGGTCACTTGACACTCCGCGCCTACAGGTCCTTTATAGGGATTGAAAACGTTAAAAGTAAACGGTCAAATTACTTACGATTATTTTATTGCTTCTTTATATAAAAAAAACTATTTACAACATAGTATTGTTCAAGATAACATTATAAACATAACTTTCTAGAGCGATCAGTTTTTTTCCATTGATGTAAGGATGATGTCGAGTCCTGAGTTGAAAATTTTTAAATGGATGACATAGGTTAAACTCATTTTCTCATTGCTCTTGTCGCTTAGTTAAAAGTATCCAGCTTATAAAAAGATGTAAATATTCCTATGCTTTAAAATGTTTCCCAGCATATTCGGAAAACTTTAATTTTCCATCTAATTTTTTTTAAATCAGAAATTGAAGATCCTGATTTCGTAACAAGACAAGCGCCATCTATTTATTGCAGAACCATTTAAAAAAATATATATTTTATCAATAAAATTTCGCCTTTAATTCATTAAATACTAGAAAATCCAAATTTTATCTTCAAGTTTGTAAATTGTAAAAAAAAGTAATGAGAGTATGTTTTGGTTTAGTTCTATATTTGCCTGAACTAGGCACTATACTGCCTGGCTTGTTGCATGAACTGGGGTAAACCTAGATATAAAATATTCCCCCCATCCTAGAAAAAAATGCTTGAATGGTAGGGGATGGGGAAAATATTGTGCTTAGATTTATGGGAGATATATACAGCCTACTTTCCCCCGCTTTCTCTCGAAACCATTGCTTTCTCTGCTTGGTTTCTATATTTCTATCCATCTATATAAAGCCTACACTAAAATGAGTATATTATCATAAATATTAATGTATTTAAATGTTTTAGCAAAATGTTTATAAATAGATATAATTTAAAATTTAAACCATAAAATTAATAATAAATTGTAATAAGTAATAATGAGTTGTAAATTGAAAATACGTTGTTTTAGGATTACAATTATTGTATTGTCTTGGTCACTTTATTTTGTTTAATACTTTTTTAATGATTTTGTTTAATACTTTTTTATTTATTTTGTTTAATACTTTTTTAATGATTTTGTTTAATACTTTTTTATCTATTTTGTTTAATACTTTTTTAATGATTTTGAAGAAAAAAGAAAGATCTAAAAACCTGCAAAACATTTGTACTAACTATAATGACCTTAACAACTGCCATCTTTTTGCCTTTTTACGAAATATATTTCCAATTTGGATTTTACAAGTTTTTCAACTTTTGAAATATTCATTCATTCAAAAAATTATCTGTTTTCCATGTTGCAGTGACATCTAATATTTAGCTGACTTACATTAAATACAAGTTGAAATAAATCAAAACATTACTAAAAAATTGTATGAGAAGAATTATATACTGTAAACTGATATTATAAATATTGGGGATCCCTGCTAACTGCATTCTAAAGATGAATTAATGTAATAATTGCGAACCCAGCAGTTTTCTACAGATATGCACTCTCTCGTTTTAAAATTATGTTAGAGTAAATTTGTTAAAGCATATTTTTAAAACCCCTGCCATGAATTTATTTTACTAAAAATCGAACTTATTTTTTTTTGTCTGTATGCCAAGCTGAATTAAACGATTAACCCTCAAAGATAATTTACTTTTCGTTTTATAAATTTATTTTCTCTTTGAACACCGAACATGTCTAAAATATAAAATCTGAAGCTGTACCATGCATGTCTAGAGTATCCCTTACTATACAAATTAACGCCTCTTTCCTCCTATTCGTCAAATGTTGATAGAAGCTAAATAGCAGGAGGGGGGGGGGGGGACAAGATAAGGACAAGAATCAAGATAAGGACAAGAATCAAGATAAGGACAAGGGCCAAGATAATGATAAGAATCAAGATAAGGACAAGAATCAAGATAAGGAGAAGGGCCAAAGTAAGGACAAGAATCAAGATAAGGAAAGAATCAAGATAACGACAAGGACCAAGATAAGGACAAGAATCAATATAAGGACAAGAATCAAGAAAAGGACAAGAATCAAGAAAAGGACAAGAATCAAGATAAGGACAAGGGCCAAGATAAGCAAAAGGATCAAGATAAGGACAAGGACCAAGATAAGGATCAGAACCAAGATTAGGACAAGGACCAAGATTATGACAAGGACCAAGAAAAGGACAAGAAAAAAGATAAGGACATGAACATAGGACAAGAACCAAGATAAGGAAAAGGACCAAGATAGGGACATGAAACAAGATAAGGACATGAAACAAGATAAGGACATGAAACAAGATAGGAATAAGAACCAAAATAAGGAGAAAGACCAAGATAAGGACAAGAACCAAGATAAGGATTTGAAACAAGATAGGGATAAGAACCAAGATAGGGACAAGAACCAAGATAGGGACATGAAACAAGATAAGGAAATGAAACAAGATAGGAATAAGAACCAAGATAAGGAGAAAGACCAAATTAAGGACAAGAACCAAGAAAAGGACATGAAACAAGATAGGGATAAGAACCAAGATAAGAACAAGGGCCAAGATAAGGACAAGAATCAAGATAAAGACAAGAACCAAGATAAGGATATAATAACAAAGATAAGGACAAGGACCATGATAAGGACAATGACCAAGATAAGGATAAGAACCAAGATAAGGATAAGTACCAAGATAAGGATAAGAATCAAGATGAGGACAAAAACCAAGATCAGGACATGGACCTGGTTAAGGAAAAGGACTAAGATAAGGACAAGGACCAAGATGAGGACAAGGGACAAGATATGGACACGGACCAGGTTAAGGAAAAGCTGCTGGAATAGGACAAGGACCAAGATAAAGTCAGGCCAAGAAAACAAAATATTTCATAATCTAATCAATGTAAACAAAATATTTCAGAATCTAATCAATGTAAACAAAATGGAAGATACTCTTGCCTTCCTAGAGAAAGAAATTCAAGCTTTTGAAAAAATTCTTGCAGAACTAAATGGTAAATTTTTTCATAAACAATTATCAATAGAAATAAACATAAACATTTTCGGCTGATTGGTGGATTCAAAACTTTATAGTTTGCTTCTTATTTATTTTCAATTTTAATTTTACCTAATTAGGGAAGCTGTGATCATATTTCATATTTTAAGCAAATTAATTTATTTGGATACATAACAAGGCGGGGTTTTCTATGCAGAAGACATTGAACTTACTTGCCTCTTCCTTTTACCGTCGGTTTTATCCCCTGAACATTGATTAATATACAGAACACGACTTTAGAAAAGTTAACCTTCAAGAAAATTACCTGAAAAAATAATTTGAAATAAAGGTCTCAAATTTGGAACTAAAAAGTCCTGTGGACAAAGCCCTAAAAATAAAACTTATTGACACTTAATTTTTTAAGACTTTTCAAGGTACTCGTTCTAATACGACTGATGGAGAAAAATTAGATTGGAGCAAACCTGAACCTGAGAATTGTAAATCTAACCCTGAAACTGATCTTGAACCTGAACCTTGTAAACCTCCGTCGCTCCCAACCGAACCTTCATCCATCTCCAGATCTAACCTCAAACCTATTCTAATCAACAAGAAGCTTAAACCTCAAATTCCTCCCAAACCCAAGACCCCGGTTACAGAATCTCCGAACCTTGATTTCCCGAAATCCACGAAAAGTCCAAGATCTCCAGGGTCGGGGTCAATGGAAAAGAGTAAACCAGCTGTTCCCCCCAAACCTGTCAAACCTGCAGTACACTTCAAACCAAAACAAACAGAAGAAGGGACAGAGGTCTGAAAAAAATAGTCTAGCAAAAAATAGCATAATTTGATCTCACAAAAAAGCAAACATTTAAAATTATAAAAAATTCGCATGAATAAATTGTATTCGCGTCATTCAATATTAAGGGAATTTATTAAGGGCGAAAAAATGACTTTATCGCTTCAAAACAGGTTGGTAAATTAACTGCACTCTGGATGTTTTGTAAGCGAAATTGGTCTTGGGAACCCTTGTTAAAGTAAATTCCCTTAACTTCCCTGTAAAGTAGTTGCATATAATTAAATTATCCACCCCCCCTCCTTCTCTCAACTCTTAAATACTTTATTGGAATCTTTTACAGATTTCTTTTTGAAGAAAGGTCTGGAATTTAATCGGAACCACTTACTTTACATGAATTAACTGTATACATATTTTTACTTGATCCTTTCTCTAAAAATTGCATGTTCAATTCACAACAGATCTACATAAACTAAAATTACAAAGATATTCTTATTTTTTTTTTCATGGTGAAAACTAATAGTTTAATGAATTAATAATTGTTGTTTCTTTATAAAAGTAAATCATTGAAAGTAAAAAAAAAGTTGATTTTATTAAAACAATTTTTTGCATTTCTAGTTAAATCTACTTTGTTAGAACAAAATAACAATAATATTTTGACTTCTCAATGCCGTAAGAATGCCGTAAAAGAACAATATGTTTTTATTTTCTAATTTTTTTCTGTGTTACCTTACCAAAAAATCTTGTAAATGCTTGAATTTTAACATTTTTATGGATTCGAATAATTGGCTTAAAACCAGGAAATGTTCCAAAACGCCACATGTGGTTAAATGCGGTAATATGGATATCTTTGAAAATTATATCAAGTATTATCGAAAACTTATTCTCGTACTATATTAATATTTTAAAGTTTACATTTCTTGTTTTAATTTGTATTATAAACCATTTTTAATAAATGTGATGCATAGCTTTGTTCAACTCGGCTTGGGTTAAAAAATATATATACTTGAAAAAGATAACTTTGCAGACTTAGTGTTAGTTTTGGAACTAATTTTTAATCGGAGTAGTCTGCACTCTGCACTGACATTTCGTGGAGAGTTATCTCTTTAGAATTTAAAGCAAAACCAAATATTAATCATTCGAATCTAAAGAATGATGATTCACTAATAGCCATAAAATTAATTTAGTTCTCAGTGTTATATTTATAAAAACTGTACTATATTATACCTTGGAGAAAATAGATAATAAAACTTTACACAAAAGCTTATCATTGTATTCACGCCGAGTTAGGCCCGTAACCAAGGGGGGTACAAATGACGAATTAAGATATTATGCCCAGGGGAGGACTCGAGGGAGTGCTTGGGCCCACGCCCCACCCCCCCCCCTTAAGGAAATTCATCATCAAGGGATGTAAGCTACAACGAAAATAGTATTGAATGAATTGGTTTAATATAATTTTTATAAATATTTAACAATCTTATATTTCAATAAATAATTTATATGCAACAAGTTGCAGTTGGTGCTTTCGGAGTAGGGCATCAGCATAAGGGATATTTTTGATTTTTAATTTTAAATTATTAATTTTTAAACCGAGATAGTTTGTGGGTCCAGTGCTCAAGGGAGCGCTGGTCCCATAAACAGTTTGAGTAATAAAAAACTGCGCAAACAGTAATTATGGAGCCAGCGCTCCCTTTTTATTTGAGGAAATTTTTATTTAACTAATGAACCCTAATGTGTAGGTGCACTGCTCTGACTGCTACAATTCTCCAGGCTGCAAACATATTATTTTCCTAAAATGTTATTTTTGAAGGGTTTTTTAAAAAATTACTAAATTATTTTTTCTCCGATTCCTGTAGTCGGTTAAAATGATACATTTAATCCTATTTCTTCTGTGTCAACATCAAACCTATAAGGATGATCATTTTAGGTACCTCTACTTGACAAGTCATTTAATGAGTTTTTGGGGGTTTTTTCTTGCCTGGTTCGTTAAATCCATAATCTACCAGATTCTTAATTCAACATAGAACTGGGATGTATATGTATTGCAGTAACCCGTCCATAGGCTGATGATGAAGGATTCTTCTAGGGCCTCCTACGAAAGTAGAACCTAACCATTTCAAAAATAGTATTGAATAAATGACCCGAACTTATAAAAATATTTTCTTAGAAAGTGATAACCAGAAAACAATGGAATAGAAAGACGACATTATAGAAATACTTTAGCAATTAATTGATGTTGTTTCAAAGCAAATATTTTTACTAAGAACTTAGCAAAGCACAGTTGAAGTGAAAAGGGTCTATTTACACTGTACAATTGCTATGTCTAATGTTCATTGAACTAGTTTAAGCGCATAGATTAACAAGTAGAATAGGTGGCAACAGAGAAATGAACCAATTATACATGACGTCACAAGTGTCATATTTAACAAGGAAGACAAAATTTTCTCCCCTTAGTGGACATGTTTTCCAAGATTAAATAAAAAAAGTGTAAGAACAGAAAATAAAGAACACATAAGTGCACTTATTTCACTATAAGATAAGTACTTTATTATCACTATTATTAATATTGTCGGACACATACAACTGTTGACACTTGTGACGTAAGATACAGCTGTATTTTCAATTTTCAGTGTAACACTAGGTTCAAGTTTAAATTCTTACTGTTGTTTCAAATAAGTAAATAATCTACAGGGTGTCCCACAAAACATGACACTTGGTTAATAGTTTCGAATGCCGTCTTCCATACAATGTATTAGATATTAAAGGCTGTTTGCAGTTTATCTTATTTAAAAATCTTTTGCTCAATTTTACTTAGAGAGTTAATTTTACTAAAATATGACTCCTATATATAATATGTAATATTTTTATCATCGTCTTTGGTATTAAACAACTTAACAAATTATGGAAGAAGACATCCTAAACTTTTTACCAACTGTCATGTTTCATGGGCCACCCTGTACATAGCATACAATTCAATCTAAAATTACTCGTTTTTATTCCAAAATAACATGAGACAATGTAAAAGAGAAATAAATTTAATTAATTTTATCATTTGTTTTCACTACTCAAATATTAGGCCTTTTAGATTTTTCAAATTGTACAAAAAAAATCTGATCATTTGATGTTTTTCCTTGACCAAGTATTGGTTAATTCACATGGAGAACTAAATCTAATGTGAAATGTAAACAAAATATACCAAAACAGACATACAAACACAAATAAACAAAACACAGTTAAACAAAACACATATAAACAAAACACATATAAACAAAACACATATAAACAAAACACATATAAACAAAACACAGTTAAACAAAACACATATAAACAAAACACAGATTAAAAAGCTTACACATATAAACAAAACACATATAAACAAAACATATGTAGGTAAACATAACATAGTTAAACAATTAAAACAAAGATAATTACAAAACTTAAGTGAACAAAACACATAAAAGCCATAACATAGTTAAACAAAACATACATAAACAAAAAGTAGATAAACAAAACACATTAAAGCCATAACATAGTTAAACAAAACATAATTAATTAAAACATACATAAACAAAACACAGATAAACAAACCACGTCCACAGGTAAACAAAACACAGATAAAAAACTCAAATAAAAAACATGTACAGATAAATAAAACACAGATAAACAAAACACAAAAAAAAAAAAACACATATTGAACAATACACAGATAAACAAAACACAGGTAAACAAAACACATAAAAACAAAACTCAGGTAAACAAAAAACTGATAAATAAAACACAGATAAAAACAAACAAAACACAGATAAAAACACAGATGAAAAACACAGATAAACAAAACACAGATAAAAACACAGATAAAGAAAAGTCAAATAAACTTAATTTGCGAAGATAAACAAAACCTTGATAAACTAAACATTTAAATAAACAAAACTTGTAAAAAAAAATATAAACATTATAGATAAACTAACCATGTAGGTGGTGGAGATTACAAATTGAGGAGCGCGCATACCGCAAAAAAAATGTTAGGGTGGCTGTGATTACCAATTGAGGACTTCTGCACTCCCCCCTCGTGTGACTAACTTTCTTCAAATTGAAAAATAGAAAATAGTAAGAATAATTCTACAATAAATGATGCGCGCAGAGCCAAAGAAAATGTTGGTGTGTTATTGATATTCGCCATTCTTTACTATAGGGGACTCATCCCCCCTGGACCTCTTTAATCTATGGTTTCCATTCCAAGGGGGGTTTCAGGCCCCAACGAAAAAAATTTTTGCCCCCCCCCCCGGACAAATTCCTGAGCACGCCCCTGCCAAGGATCGACTAAAGGTATTATGAATACAAACAGAAAATCTAAACATAAAAAAAATTACATCAATAAACTTGACAATTTTAATAAATTTAATTTTCAAATGTTGTGTTCTATAAAAAAGATTTACGAAGAAATTGAGAATTCCACTTCTTATAGTGCGTGAGTGTAAAATTAGACATTTAACACTAAAATAAAATAATGATATATGACCTACATTTTTATTGGCTGAAATTGGATAGGAAATCTAATAAACTTGACCGTGTGTATATTTATTAACAACTTCCCATCATTATAAAACCAGGGGCACCTGTTGCATGAAAATAATTTTTCGTAGATGAATCCAAATGTCGTCGTTGTTGAAAATTGTTTCTTATTCACGGGAAAATCCCGCCCTTGAGAAATAAAAAGCAGAGATAAATAACTGCCGATCATCTCACAAATTTAAAGGGCGTAGTCGTACACCAGAAAGGGAATCAGCTGATACTGACAAATTTCGAAAACACAATGCAAACCTAACCTTTATGTCAAAACTTTCAAAGTATATAAGTAAATAAACACGTTAGTACTGACCTCCGATACACGTTACATCAAATTTTCTGAACGAATATTTAATAATCAAGACTTAAGACGCATATGTCATGTTATGTCAGCTAGATTTAAACCTGTTCTGGAAAAAATGTAACATATTCTAAAGTATCATCTTTCAAAACTGGATTTGTTTCCGTGACAGTCTGAATAAAGATGAGAAGAAATAAACTAATACTTTTTATTTTATTCAAAGAGGAAAGTGTCGTAAAATTAACATCCATTGGACATCTGTATTTGTAGACCTAGTATTTCAGTACATAGTACAGTTTCTCTTTTTCGTTTGTGTAGTGAATGCTATAAGAAATTCACAAGTTTTACGATAACGGTAGTTTCTTCGGCGAGTTAGGAAGCTCGAGGACTTGTAGGTATATTCCTAGAACAGAAAGTGTCTTAACCTAACCTAACCCTAAATAACAAAAAATAAATAATAAATTTGCTGAAAATAAATGGTCATGTACAAAATTGATAGGAGGGGGGGGGGTCCAAAAATCGTATACTAGGACAGACCCGACTTGTAAAAGTAGCAAGTGTAAAGTGTTACTTTGCATAACAGTTTCGTACTAATGTAGAAAATGCTGTTTCATTGTCGCATCTGCCAAAATTGTGTAGAGCGGTTTAAATGCTGTTTTATTGTCGCCTCGTTCACAAATGTGTCTAGTTTGTTTAAACGGTGCATCATTGTCGCATCTGCCACAGTTGTGTCAAGCGTGTTTAAATGCTCTTTTAATGTCACATCTGATAAACTTGATGCATTTTTGATATTTCATATAAACATATTTACAGGGACAGTCTGCACAGTCATGAGAAGGAACTTGAAAGAACATCTTCTAATATTAAAGAACTCATTAAAGAAGTGAAAAATCTACTTTCTGCAGCTAAAAGTAAGAATTATATAATTATCGTGTTTGTTTTGATTTTGGGCGAACATTTGATAGCGTCGTATCAAGTTTTTTTTTATATATTTAAGCAGTGCAAGGATCAAGATCTGGATCCTTTGGATCCGGAACATTTTGGCTTACTGGATCCGGATCCGCAAAAATATGCTGATCCACGGATCTGGATCCAAGACGCTAACTTTCAACTAAAAACTGCAAACAAAAATCTTATGCTTTCAAACCCCAAATCTGAACTGTTAAAAAAGAGATTATATCAAAAGTTTCCTCATCTCTAAACGGTTCAGCAAGTTTTGGCAAAAAAAAAGAAAACAATTTGAAAATTCTTTTGCTGTCATAAAAAAACAATAAATAAAAAAACAGTAAATCTTAAAGAAATGTTTATGACCTGGATCCGTATCCATTTTTTCCTGTGCGGATCCAGATCCGCTTTAAAATAAAAAAAATGAATCCTTAGTACTTTATTTAAGTGACTGTTGCCCTAATGTCTAGTGATCCTCAATTTATAGTGATAAGAATGTTTTTCTCTTTAAACATTGATAATTTTTGGGTTTTATTTCTCACGTATCTCTGCTTTAGAAACAATAGATGAAATTGTCCTAATTTAACACTTCAAATTAGAAAAATGAAGATATCTCCTAAATGAATGTTCAGTTTATGTCGGACTAAACCCTGTTTAAACTGAGGGGCAGTTGAAGTTACAAGGACAAACAGTTCCTTTAAAATTTGTTTTGAAATATTTACTTCCTTTAGATTTATCCCGTGCTCAGAGGAGTCTCAGCTCTCATCTTCTTAACTTCAAATTCGACTGTATAGGTATAACAAATCATTTTATCGTACTACTTTTACCCCCCCCCCTGCCAGCGTTTTTGACGTCATTAGTAATGTTAAAAAACGATTGAATCGATTAACAAAGACATATATTTTCGGTGCTATGGGAAAGGGGTGGGGGGTTTGGACCGCATTTACGTTTGAAATTCCACGCAATATATTTTAAACCAATTTTACTTAGCTCCCTCTTCACTGGATCCTGTTAGCGTCTCTTATCACTTATTTTGTTTATCTTTATCCTGTAAATCCTTTATTACAATGAGAACCAGAAAACTCTTGAATAGAAAGACGACTTTTGAATTGTCCAATTGAACATGATACACAGTGCAGTGTAAATAGACCCATTTAACCTAAAATTGATTTAATAAGTGTCTAGTAGAACTATTTGCGTTGTAACAACATCAAATACACATTGGTATTGCTAAAATGTCGTCCTCCTATTCCACATTTTGTTGAATCTTCCTGATTCCGATGGTATCTTCATTCTTCAACATGTATTGTTTTACTTTAAAAAACTGTTGTTAACTTTATATTTTAAACAGGAAGTAATCAAACAGATGATGAATTAGTAATAGCAGGCAGCTTAAAGGTAATATTTTGGAACTATTGTGAATAAACTTTGTTCTAATGAAAATATCTAAAAGGAACATAAAAAGAAAAAAAATCTTTTTAGCTATGTTTAAGAAAGTTGAGGCCGGTGGTAACTTCTAAATGATAAATTGAGTTGAGCTAAATAACTTTAGTTTGTTCGATTTTGTAAAAATTTTAATTTTAATTTGAATCTAACAATACTGATGTCTTATTGGTGAAATAAATTTCGACCATTAATGAGAGCTCGGTTAACTAAAGATTTGAATTCAAATTCCCAATGGGAAGAGAATGGTGTAAACTCATTAAATTAATTTCAAATTTGTTCCAACCATTAAAAAATTCTTTATTTTGCCTAAGTAAACTTGGTTTATTTATTTATACAATATACAGATATAGATGAAATGATTCTTTAAACAAGTGACAATATTTAACCTTTTAATGATAATAATAATAATAATAATGTATATTTCAAACTAGTTTACAGGTTAAATGATAACAATATATGTACAAGTTATGGTCATGGAATAAAATCAGTGATATATTACATATTTACAATTACAGACACTAGTTTGCGGACTAGAAAGTTTTCAGACTTTATAAACTAGCCCAAAATAATAGTTTAATATAGTTCAATGATTAAAATAAAGACAATATATTTAAGAGAATTTTATTTAGTATAAAGAAAGTGATTTATCATCTTTGATATGAAATCAGGCCTTTTCAACCCGGTCTAAACAAAAGAAGCCTGTCAATTATTTGAGCAACTAGTTTTAATAGATTGCAATCAAGCCAATTAAAAAAATTAATGTATCACAAGCCTAAAAATGTAATACTTAAACATTTCAAATTAAACTATCAGATTTTTCTTGAGTTAATCTCTTTAAAAATAGAAATATGATATTATCAAAATTAAATCAGGATAATCTCTTCCTACAGGTTAAGCAGAATTTTAAAAATGAATTTCTTTAAACTGAAGAAAAAAGTTTTTTGATCATTTTTTTTGCAGACTTAGCTTTGGTATTTCCAGTATGATATGAATCATACTGTATCACAACGTAAACATATATTTAATATCTCACAAAACATTAAAAGTTTGCATTTCTTCTATTCATCCTTATCTTACGTTCTTTGGATAAGCCCTGTAAATCTTTATGATTTTTTATACAAAATCTACATTCTACATACATAGTACATGTTTCTTATACTTTGTGCCATGTGCATCCTCATTGTGATTAATCCTTGTATTGTAATTTTAGTTTATTGTACATAATTTGCGAACAACAGACATTTATTGTAGCTTTAGTTTATTGCACAAAATTCTCGTACAACGTACATCCTCATTGTATAAACTTTACGATTAACATACTCAAGCCTTTTACAATGTACATACTCAGTGTAGTTTATTGTACATAATTCTCTTACAATAACATTAAACATAATTTTACATAATTTTCTTACAATGTACATACTCATTGGAGTTCTAGTTCATGTACACGTTTTTCTTACAACATGATCTAGGATCCTTTTAAAACACCTACGATGTACATTTAGTTCAGCTAGCGTTAAATCACAATAAATCTTTTTTTAAGGAATTTGGGAAACTCATAAGTTCAATTGAAGATGAGCGGGATAGAATGCTAGGAATTTAATTATTTGCATAAAATCTCCGTACTTTCAGATTTTAAATCGTTTCTGTATTAATTTTTAAAAATGAATTTTTCATGTTTTGAAGTGAAAACGTCTTTACATTCTTTAAACATTTAAATATTTTAATGTTCGCAAGAAAATTTAGACCATTAAAGTTAGCATTTATTCTACTCATTTAGAAGACAAAATATCGGAAAAAAAGGAAACTAATCTTTTTTATACTTTTCTGTAAATAAATTAAAAAATAGAACGAGCTTTTGATAATTTCATCGTTCCCCTGGAAACCTTCAGAAAAGTAAGTGATTTGAATTATATTTTTTTCATTCAACTTATTTCTACCCAGGGGTGTATATTTTTATTTATAATTATTAGGGAAAATAAATGTTTTTTTTGGGGGGGGGGGATTTTGTGGATAAAAAATATGAAAAAGGATGAAAAACTTGCCTTTTGATGTCCAATCTTAATTTTTTTCCCCAGGGGGGGTTGAGTTATTCTCAAAAATATACATTACTGTTTTCATACCAAAAGGATGAGTATCGTGTTGCAAAAATACATTCATTAAAAAGAATTTTTTTCATTTTTCATTTTAAATTTAAACTTTTTGTTTCGTTTTTTGTTCAACTAAAATTGATTGTTTGGATTACATTTTTTTTCGCTTATTTGTTTTTGTTATCGATATCGAAAAGTACAAAATGATTTATGAAAAAAATAATTTGATATTTATCTAGGAACAGGTTTGGGGTGTGAAGTCCAGTAAAAAAAGTTTGATATTTATCTAGGAACAGATTGGAGCTGTAAAGTCGTGGAAAAAAACAGTTTTATATTTATCTAGGAACAGATTGGAGCTGTAAAGTCCAGGAAAAAACAGTTTGACTACCAAACCAAGAAGTTTTGTACATCCCAGGAACGATATCTTGGACTATCAACCAAGAAGCAAGACAATGTTTTACAAGAGGTAACATATTTACGCAATAATAATAATAATAATAATAATAATAATGATGATGATAATGATAATGATGATAATGATAATGATAATGATAATGATAATGATAATGATAATGATTAAAACAATTAAATTTATAAAGTAAAGAAATAATTTTTACAAATAGATTGAGGACTAAAAGGTCCCAGACCATTTTTAAATTTAGTCATGTTACATACAAAATTTTACATAGATAAAAAGAAAAAGATTGAAAATAAAATATGATAAGAAATAAATAAAAACAAGAACATACATTGGAACTGGAATATTAAAAGCAGAAAGATTGTGCATTTCCAGAAAACATAAAATGACTAAATATGACAACCAATTATCTCTTATCTTATTATGTAGAGATTTCAAAGAACGTCAAGATCAAATAATTTCTGGAATCCCCCACCTCGAACATCAATGACGTGGAAGATTAAAATATCTTAAATATAAACAGTAGAACCAATGACAGAAATTTAATATTGTTCACTAATGGTATCAATGACGTAGAAAATACAAATCTTGCAATATTAGTTTTCAACTCCTGAATTATCAGAAATATAAGAATAGAAGAAATATTGTCATAATTCCGTTTTTCCATTGGTTTGCATCACTGACGATATGGACCCCCCCCCCCTCGCCCCTGTGCCAACTGGCAATGGAAATTAATGACGTAAAGGATGTAAATCTGGAAACAGGGGTAACTATATTTTGTAAAAATTTCAAATATTTTGGGAAAATATGGAAAAATGGAAAACATTTATCTTTTTGAAAATATATATTTATATTTCATTTCCCCTGAAAAGCATTTATTCCCCAAATTGGACAGTCATAAACAATTTTAAAATAGTGGGATGAAGAGAGGAGGTAGATTTTTAAAGAAAATATATACCCCTGTCTGTTTATATTAGATACCTTGGATCCCAGGGTTGGAGGCTATAATTAGATAAACAACGTGATGTCTTCTTTCTCTCTCTTCCAGAATTCTTTTTCCGTGCCATTCAACTTTTGATAAAAGTAAACAATGTAATTGTTATATTTTTTTAGAAATTCATTTTAGTTTAAACAAAAGAAGTTATTTTAAAAACTTCAGATTTTGATATTTAAGATTCTTCGTAGTCGACCTAATTAGGGGTTGTAGCCAGTCATATTTAGTTTGTTCTTTCATTCCAGACTGGAGGTTAAAGCTAAAAATATATATTAAATTCATGAATAGAGGACTACAATTAAATCTTATGAAGGTGTAGTCAATCATGCTTAATCCATAGAAAACTAATATTATTATATATAAGGAGATACTCGACTGAAAACATTGACTTCAGGCACAATTATGTTAATTTTTTTGATAATTTTTAATCTCAAACAACCAAAGGACATGGCTATTCTAGGTAATACTTCAAAGAGAACGAGAACTTTTTATATTTATCCAAGCCTGAAGAATTAATAGAGAGAATTAATGTCATGAAACCCTCAATGGTTCAATCTACTGGACATCTTATACTTTATATTAAAGAATACATGAGGTTTGATAGACTAAGCCGTAAAACCAGAAGTAATTCTGCGCCTATACATTTTTCAAAATTTGTAATCTAAAATCTTAATTATATTACTAGCTTAAGGGCCCGGCGTTGCCCTTGAGAAAAAAAAATGTTGAAAAAATATAAGTTTTGAAGAAAAAAAAATAATTTGAAAAAAATCGTTTTTTTCTATAGCCAGACACCAATGAGGGCCTGCCTACAAAAAAATGCAGCCCATTCGATCTAGCCGTTTGGCCGGCTAAAGGCAACATATATATAAATGTATTGTTTTATTATATAGATTATTATATAAAATTATTACACAGTACAAAATAGGATGTGTCAAATTTTTAACTAATAATAATAAAGTGAATTGGAATCTAAAATGTAAATTAACGTCATTTTATTTTCAAGCAGGCCTGTAATTAATTGTACAAATGCTCATTTTCACTTTTTTGCTGTTATCGTAAGTCTTGAAAATAAATCTGTAAGTCTGCATAAGATAGAGATCAATGAGGGGAGGAAGGCCAGCCACAACAAATTCTCGTCCGAGCCACATTCTCCTCATTTTCTCACTTAAACATTACTGTACAGTGTACAGTGTACCTGTACACCGCCTTTTTGTAAAACCTATGAACGGGACTGGTTTTAAGCTTAGCAAAAATGTTTGGTTGGGTTTTAGCATTTTATCTTTAAACAGCTTTCAAGCTGTTTTTTCTTCACCTATTGAGTTCCTACTTTAACATATTTATCTTTTAACATTAAATGGGACAGACTTCAAAAGGGTATATAAAGTTTTCATCCTTCTTGATACTTTTTACCCCAAACGTTATTTATTTACACCAAGTCAGAGAAAAAAACCAAATAAAAAAATGCATAAAGGGGGTAGGTTTAGTTCTTCAGTAAGTCTGAAATTTGATGAGAAAATACTTCTAAACTACTCTGACATCTTTTTATATTTCAGTGAATGCTTTGTTGACATCTATGATGTTATATATTTTATATTTTTTTATCAAGTATTAACTTAAGGAAGATCTGAAATTTGAAATTGTTGACTGACGCTATGTGACAGCTAATTAAACTGTGAATCAAATACAAATAATTTTTTTCCAGAGTACAAAAAAAGAGTTGGGCATTCTTAAAGGTTTATTTTAAGATTACTTATTTAATGAAACGGACCATGAAAGGTATATTTAAATATTGAATTATCAATTGTTGGTTGCAATTCTTTAATTCCATTAAAAATATTTGGTATTTTGTCTGCACAAATTATTTGGCTGTTAAATGTAAGTATCTTTATATCAAGGTGGAAATCGATTAAAATCTATGTATTAATAAATATTGTATATATAAGGCGGTTGTCATCCGTCTATCTTTAAATGTAAATATCATCAAGATAAACCTTTTAAGGCGGATGTCATCCGGCTATCTTTAGGTTTACATTTCTTATCAAGCTGCATATCTGATATATAGATATCAAGATACAGATATTTATAAGGGCAGATGTCATTCGCCTTCCTTTAGATGTGGAAATAGTTTTTACTAATCTAAAAGGCGGATATTATCTATCTATTGTTATGAGTTTTATCTATATCTATACATGCGTGAATACTTGTTTATCTATCTGTAAGGATGGATATTAATTGAAATTATCTATTATTGGAGTTGCTATCTATGTACCTATTTGAAAAGGCGTACATCTAACTTATCTATCTATTTATATGGATGCTATCTATCTAACTAGCGTTTTTATGTTATATCTATCTACCGATATGATGATATCTATCTTACTTAAAAGGCGGATATCTATCATATCCAGTTAATTATACATTTGCACTTTTCTTAAATATCTATCTAATCTATCCATTAAGGCAGACAAAACTATTTTATTCATCTATTAAAGCTTACACACTGTTAATATATGCAAAGATTAAGGCGGACAACATTATTTTTCTATCTATTAAGGCGGACAACACTATTTTATCTATCTATTAAGGCGGACAACATTATTTTATTTATCTATTAAGGCGGACAACATTATTTTATCCATCTATTAAGGCGAACAACATTATTTTATCTATCTATTAAGGCGGACAACACTATTTTATCTATCTATTAAGGTGAATAATACTAATCTATCCGTTAAAGCGGACACACTATTAATATATTTATCTATACAGGTGGAGATCTATTTTGTTTGTTTGTTTATCTATCTGTTAAGTCGGATGTCTGGGGGGCCCACAATGGGGTCTCTTGCAGATTTCAATTCCTTATGATTCCTTATCTATATCTATTCTATGTATTAAGGCGGATGCTATACTAGAGATGGAACAACGAGATTTTGCGAGGGAAGCATTGGAGTATGTTTGTTTAATTCAGGTCAATTCCTACAAATTCTTATCTTATTTTATTTTATGATAAAACTTCAAAATTTTGGCGTTCCTGGGTTTAAAACAAATACTGTTCATGATAAAAACTTTTTAAGTTGTATATTTAAAAATTTGAAGTTTTTATTCCCATCAAAAGAAACATATTATTCTGTTAACACGTTTCCATTTTTTAGGAAGTACAAGAACGGAAGAAGTTTGAATTCGTTGAAACGGTACTTTTTCATTATTTTTATTCAGAGAATTTATAAATAATTATCATTTCAGCCTAATATTAAATAAATCAGGTTTCGAAGCATGGTGTAGTTAGTATACATATAATTAATCCATTGTAATTTGTTTCAAGTAATAAAAAAAATAATATAACTACCTTTAAACCTTTATTTTACATAAATATTTTGTCGTAGTTGCAAGCGTTTATGTATGGCTGGTTAACCTTTTATCACCAAGGACACGAGGTGGCAAAGGTAAATATTTTCCCTGCCTTTTTTCCTTTTTTAATATTGTGTAGAAATCTCTATCTCCCACGAATAGATTTTGAAAACAAAATTAACCTTTTGGATGTTTTGCCCTGCTGAATCATTTTTTTTCTTCCAAATTTATCGTGTTTAAAGTGTTAAAAGTTTTTAACCTCTTTTTTTGGATTTCAAACCTTTTATTTTCTCTGCAAAATTAAAATATTTGAAAAAAAAAAGATTTTTTTCAGGATTTCAAACCTTTTATGACAGATCTACAGATAAGAGTTCAAAAGGTAAAATTAAATTTCAATAATGACAATAATATTGTTATGAGATGCCGGATAACATGAACTTCTAAAATTTTCTGTAAATGTTTCGAAGAACTAGAATGGAGATTGTTGCCTCTATGTTTTCCATATTCCAGTGTACCTAAAGACTAAATATCAGGGAAAAAATTGTCAACAATTGTCCAGTGTACGCTTAACAACCAGCAAATGAAATAACTATCTATAAATGTCAGGAAACCCCCTGTATGAAACCTGTTGAATGTTAATTCAACAAATTTCAACAAATACCTTTTTATCTATCTAGCCTAGGAACCCAGCTTTGTTTGGATGATTAACTTTTTCTATAAAAGTCAATCCACTCATTATAAAATTTTTAACCGACCAAAGAACATTCCCGTGGCTTTATTGAGTTCCCAATCAAAATTTGAGGCAAATCGGTCAAGGGGTTTCTGAGTTATGAATTGAAATCCAAACACAAAGACGCACAGAGATCAGTACTTTGTATATAGATAACTGTTTGTTTATCTAGACAAGAACACACTTCCAATCTTCTCGAAATGATATCGAAGCTTTAATGAGGAAAATGCTCGAGGTTCGACAGACGGTAAGTTCACAAAACCCCCGCTCCCCAGGGTAACAAGTAACTGGTTCCTTTTGTCAATATTGGTTAACTACACGTTCATTTAGAGAGTTGTCGACGTAATTTCAAGTTACGCTGAATTTTAAGAGATACCCTTTAAACATTTGTCTCGGCAAAAAGTATAAAGATGTTTTTGATAATCAGAAAACAATAGTTTTTTTTTGACACCTTTTAAATCACTAATTTAATAAAATGGGTCTGTTTACACTGCACAACTGTTGTGTCTCATGCTCATTGGACTTTTTGAAGTTTTAACTTGATTCTAAAAGTCGCCCTTTTCAGAGTTTTGTTTATCACTGCATGTAAAAGTGACATGTGGAATTTTACAGCAAAAAAACGTGTCAGAATTAAACAGCTGCCCATTTATAAAAACGACGATATCTTCCTCATCGTTGCTCATATAATTGCTTCTACAATTCTCTAAATGGGGGGTTACTTGAAACTGTGTAGACATATCCTTATTTGATAAATGTATTTTTTTTATTTTTGACCAGTTACTAAAATTGCAAGTATTTAACATAACATTATTATTCATTTCTCAGATAATATTATTTTATAAATTTAATTTTTGGTGATATTTAAACATTATTTCCAGTACCCGAATATAGTTTTTTTAAAAGTGATAAATCAGAACAGAAAACAGTTCCAGCTTTTTAACGATTTTTGGTAGGATATGCTATGTGACCTTAAAGGAAGTTAACAATTCTTTGTTTGTTTTTAATTGATAAAAAATTTTTAGATTCTTAAATTCTTCTTTTAATAATAATAATAATAATCCGAGAAGACTCTCACGAAGAAATCTAAATAAATAATTTAAAATATACGCGAAGTTTTATATAAATCTTGATAACTAAATTACTCTTTCCTTGTATCTTTGAAAGAAAACCTTATTTGCTAAACAAAACTTCTCAATTTTTTATTTACACTGTAATTTATCAATCTATCTATCTATCTAACTATCTATCTGCAGGTGAATGATAACATATATCCTGTGCATACAGACCCCCCTATACTAAATACAATAGATAAGTTAGTTTACAAGAATAATCAGACCCTTACACTTCAAACACTCAATTGTGGAATTTTGTGAAAATTTGTGATTAGTAATTCATCTTGAAATGTGAAAATGTACTAAATTCAACTTAGTACTAAAATAATAATTTATTTTCTGACAGAAGAAAATATTTAAGTGACTTATTCTTCACGCTACATGTTCAGGAAAGTGTTAAGTTCATGCAAAAAAAACATCTTATAAACATTGATATGAATATTTTCTATCAGACTACGAAAATGATTTGTTTATCATTTGACAAGTTTGATTTTTTTCTAATTGCATTATTTTAACATCAAAATTATTTTTAAATCAATGAGCTTAAACACCGTTTGAATAAAAGGAAGGGACAGAGCTATAATGTTGCTGGGGCAACTGTTCAAAATCCCCAACTCACCAGTGTTAAAGAGACTTCAGGAACCATATTGTCCCGCTATACATTTTATATATATTTATGTTTTTAAACTTACGTTAACCAGGCCCGTAACCAGGATTTTTCCAGGGGTGGTGCAAAGAAGCGTGCCGCATGCGAAAAATTTTTTTTGGTTTTTTTTAAAAGCCATGCTTGGTTTGCTTTTACGGTGGTATATGGTTTTCTTTATTACATTGTCAATCTACGCTATAAAGACTAACCTTTTTAAGTGTATTTAAGCTATTAAGGGTTACATTTTAGTGTCTGAAACTTTTCAGTTTACATATACAATATACATAAAAAATAAATTAATGGTACTTTAGTTTAAGGAAAAAATGCATTATTTAAAATCAAGGCTTCTTGTCCCTCGGCCCCATCATGATATTATGAAGATGAATAAAAAATGAAATTTCTAATATTTTGTTTAAAAGAGTTTATTTATTGACATTGAGACATTCTTAGTGAATTTTTGAGTATTCAAAAAACCCTTATACTTTGACTAAAAATGACAAATATCCTCGCTTAAAATAATGTTTTTGAAACTCCCAAAAATAGCTATTATATTCCAAAATAAATGGATGAATTTTTTCCTTTTAACCAACTGTTCAAACTGTAATTAGATTTTAGAAAATTATGAGAAACAATTTCTTTTATATGGGACGGGGGGGGGGGGGGGAAAATTCGTCATTGCACCCTCCTTTCAGAAGAAATGGGGGTGCACCTGCACCCTTGCACCCCCCCCCTGGTTACGGGCCTGGTTAACCATAGTCTGAAGACGGGTACTTTGAATTGACAGAGGTTAGCTTGTTTTAGCCAGGGTGGGTCTGAAGGAGCAAATTTACTTTAAAAAAAGAGTCAAGAGCTCGTCCTAAAGAGCAAAGCTGGAAGCTGTTTCTAGAAGATCTTAGGATGTTTTTTTTTGCCTGCAGGGAGTTAAACCTTAATTGTTTTCTATGATTAATCTTTCTCGGTCAAAATTATCGGATTTTCTCTTCTTTTGTTGAACCAATGAATGATCTAATAGACGCTGCCTAATTTCATAAGTTTCAGTTTAGGATATTTTAATCGCTCCTCTTTGCTTTATCTAGATCAAAACTTTCCAACTTTGATCAAAGTACAATTTGAGTATTTAACTCAAGCAAAATTTAAACAAGGTTGGTACAGCCTGAATCCATTTATTTAGTTGTAGCACATGTATTATCACACTTACAACATGATATTAAACAAAATCTATGACTCAAATGTGATGAATTTATACAAGATGTGTTTTTTTCTTTGAATTGATGGTAAATAAATATTAAGAAAGAGATAAGAGGGGCAGCGTTTAATGGGGGGGGGGGTGTTATTAGAATATACCAAATCTCTTAATCTAAATGTTTAGAATGTACATTAATTAACCCATAGCTTTGTATTGTATGCAAATATATCAACAATTGCTAGATTCATCATAGAATCACAGTAAGATAGAAACTTTCATGTATAAATCTTATCATTCATCTATTCTGAGGAGTATCGTTAATCTTGAACTCTCGATCTCATTATGCAATGTGCGCACTATGAGGATAAATACTTTATCCCTCAATTAAAGTTATTTCTGAAGTTTATGACCTATGACCCCAATGGGATATCAAAGAGGACTACAGTTAATCTGTACGTCCGCATAAAATACAGATCAATGCTTGATTGCTAGATACTCAGCATTAAAGTTCTCACCTCCGATTGGTTCTAAGCCAACTATGCTTAAAAATATTCTCTTTAAGATGGCAGGGCCTTCAACAATTTGTTTTGGAAAATTAAAAAAAAAAATTCTGAGTCATTTGAAATTGTGCCGTGAGGACAATTTTTGTGTCAGGTGTATTTAGAAGAAACGACAGCATTTCAAAACATCGACTTAAGGCATTTTATGATCTAACATATGTTAAAGAATGGGGTATGAAGTTTACATATCTTGTTAACAACGTTTTTTATTTTTCTTCTATCAATCTCATTAATTTGTTAAGCCTTAATTTCTGCTTTACAAAAAAATAGTGCCTGATTTTAATATGTTTTTTTTTCACTTGTTTAATATTTTGAAACATATCCTTAATTTTTTCATAGTGTGATGGGTCTAAAGAATTGTATTTGTATGATCAAACTAATCATGATTTAATCTTGGCAAAGGTTGAGGACACTTTCCCACTGTCTATGCCAAACTCGAGAAGATCCAGTGCAGTGGGTCAAGACGAAGGAACTTTACCTATTAATTAAATTCATAAAATCTAGTGACTTTACAACCAAATATCATAAATTGTTGACATTTTTGACATGGTATTAACCGTTTTATTTACAATATTGAGTATGATTCATTTTAATTTCAAAGCGAACCTGGTTGGAACCCTTGGATCTAGATCGAACCCCTAGGATTTGGAACCCCTGGATCAGGATTAGAACCCTAGACCAGAGCCAGATCCTTTTGATCCGTGATAGGACCCTTGGACCGCATTAGAACCTATAGCTGTAAAAAAGCTAAATCTAAACCATTGGATCTGGATTAGAACTCATGGATCTGAATCAGTACCCTTGGATCTGGATTAGAACCCATGGATCTGAATCTGAACCCTTGAATCTGGATCAAAATTCTTCGAAACGGGTGAAAACTTTTGGACCGGACCCAAAACAAACCCCAAAATATCTAGTTTATTTAATCGTGAGTCGAAAGCTTAGAAATGGGTCGCAACCCTATGGTAACCAATGAATCCGAAATATATTCCTTGAACTTCTACTAGATTGAAAATATATCCGTTTATATTAAAACCTTGCCATTAGAAAATAAATGTTAAAAAATGGTTTACACTTTTTCTACAGAAATAAATAAAAATCTAAAAATTGTATTGAATTGAATACATATGAAATATTTAAAAGAATTGGTAAATCGTAGATGAGGTTTCTGGATCCTGTCCTTCTGAATGTCTGAATTCTAGAAGACTAAGCTTAGGAAACTTGTGATGATCATCCATTTGCAACTAAATAACAATTAAAAAAATAAGCACACTTTGAAGTACATTGTTCATTGAAAATGCGAACTCAAAAAATACTAGGAAAAATATGGTTAATGTGGTAACAAATTACAAATGATGAGAAAATAAGTTTACTAATATTTTATAATTTTTGCTTACCCAGTTAATCAAAAATCAATTATTTTATCTTTTTTTGTGCTGAAATGGGTAAGCTAAATAACATTGAGGGAGGAATAGTATTAAAAGTGGGAAAGAACTTGCCATTTGCCGACCAATTTTCCTTTTTCCACACAAATCTTAGAAAATCATATATCAATAGAAATAATCAAGTTTCTGTTCAGACACATACTTGCACACGAACACGAGGAGAAACAGTTATATTGAACTCCTGAATGAAGTAAAGCAGGCATTAAACCTAGAACAACAAGGTTCCCTTGGAGACACAAGCTTTCTCAATTTATTAGATTCAAGGGATTGTATTCTCAATTTATTATATTCAAGGGATTGTATTCTCAATTTATTAAATTAAATGTATTGTTAACAATTCTTAAATTCTTAAAACATTAATTTATGAAAGGATATTAATAATATGCATAACGTAGTAGCATTTTGCTTTCACCAGCTTCAAGTCAATTTTCATGTGAAAAGTCAAGTTAATTCCCTTTAATCTCTTCAATCACCATGATTCATCAACTTCAAAAATTCAAATTCAATTCATTTTATTGTGGCTCTAAAGACCGCTGGGTAGAGAATGATGTTGATGATGAAGAACATAAGAAGAGTGATGTTGATTTTATTGACGAAGAGTTCCAGTTCCTGGATGCTCTGGATTCAGAAGATGTGAGTCCAAATCACCAGCATTATCATGATAATGGTTTCAAAACACAAGGAGAAACCATGAAATCTGTAAAAGTTGTAAAATATTGAAACGTAGTATTTTCAAATATTTATGGTTATTAATCTTTGTCACTTACGGACAGCTGATTTCAATCTGCATGTATTGCAGATAAAACGGTGACTGGAGATGAACTACAATTTCTAAGGAACAATCTTTGATTAATGTCTTAATATGATATTTAAGTGTGATTTCAGCGTGGGTATTTGTTAACAATCTCGAAACAGTCGAGATACATCAAGATAATTCTGATGCGTAAAACATAATGACTAAATAATTAAAATGTCAACCTAAAAGTTTAAATAATTCGGAAATATTGTTGAAATATCACCAATTTGATTTCTTTAATTCGTTATTTTATAAAGTACCCTGAACTATTTTGTAATATTTGTTTTGTTTAGAAACCGTTGGATCCAGGGACCCTTAATAAGATGTATACTAGGACAGGTAATAAATATTCAGAATTAAATCAGGGATATATATTTTCATAGAAAATCATCCCTCCCGACTCTCATAACAATTATTTGTTAACTTGTATAAAACATTATTTTTTAATTTTGAATTAAATTATGGATGGAAAAGTTTGCAAACGAAGATGCCATTTATCATGTATCACCCCTAACATGGGATATTTTTCTCTTCCAACTTGAGGCATATGGTCCACCAAAAATTAGATACATGCGTGGAGCCCTGTTTGAGAAAATTCATCTTTAAGAAATCGTAAAAATCTATTTATTAGTTGTCTTCTTGATCTGAAAGAAAGAGGGGTAAAAATTTTCCTCGAATTCCAAAAAAAGCATGATTTTTGAAGATCTAGAGAAAAAATTGCACTATTCTTTTTGATACTTCTAACCTAAAATTTTATTTTATTTTACCTAAAAATTAAAAAAAAAACTTTTGGGGAACATTTTTTGAAGGTGGGGAAATAATTTTTACAAGAAAGCAAAGATCTCTGAATGAAGTATAAAAGCAGATCTGTCCAGGTTACTTATTCTGTATGGAGAAGAAGGCTTTAGGAACTACTTGGATCAAATGCTACTGTCAGTATATCAGAGAAAACAGGTACACTTCCTTTTTCAGTTAAATTTTATGATATAAATAATAAATACAGGGTTATCCATCGGTTTAAACATCAAATTAATAGATTCTTTAATCTTTTACATTTTACGGCTGATTATTACACAATTGTTAAATGTTCATTGTGCATTAGAAGAAATATCCATTTGTTTAATTCTTTGGAAATAATGCGACATTCGAGATGAAAGATTGGGGGTTTTTTACATCTTTTCTAGTATTTATACATTTAAAAACTTATTCAACCATATGTTTGTGTTCCGCAGGTGTTAATTATTGATAATTATTTTGGAAAAAGTGTCGAAATTATTAAGAAGTGTAACACTGGACGTTTTTAACGTGACACCATCTTTAGATTGTTCTGCATGATCCCGTACAACCAGACTACCGGTAAGATTACGAACACCGAGAGCTTTAAGATCAAATCTTGTTTACGGAAGACGACAGAATCAATCGACAAACGGTTCTGCTTCGACCTTATTCCGGAGGATAGGTAGGATAGACAAAATAAAAAATAAAAATAAGCAAGTTAAATAATAAAATGGAAAGATAAAATATTTTTTTGTGATTTACAAAATAACAATAAAAGGTTGCCAAATATAACAGCCTCCTTTCCCTCGTTAAAACAACAAAATGTCTAATATGCAAAATAAAATAATCAATTCACTTATACTGGAAACCCCCCCCCCACTACAGAAAAAAAAACAAGGTGACTAACTAGATTAATTTAGGCCTAACGTTGTTTTTACTCTTCAAGCACAGTCAGAAGATGACAGGTAGCTATTTTACTTGTAATGTGACATCACTTAATCTCATTATGTGACTTCACTCAATCTCATAATGTGACGTCAATTAATCTCATTGTGTACGTCACTTAATCTAATCATGTGACGTCACTTAATCTCATTAAATGATGCCACTTAATCTAGTCATGTAATGTCACTCAATCTCATTATGTGACGCCACTCAATATCATCATGTCATTACATTTTGATTATGATCTTTTATGAATCCATTTTAAAGGTTGCGTCATAGCTCGTAAAAAAATATTTATCATGAATAAAATTTATTTAGTTTGGTTTTAAGTTTCTAATTGGCACAAATTCAAATGTTCAAAAGCAGATAAACACAATAAAGTAAATTTTATCTTTTAATGCACAAATACAAGCTTTAAGACCATATTCTGACCATTAAATATAACATCATGAACCATGATTGGGAGATGGGAGTAGAACTTTCCTATAGCTCTGAATTGATTTTTAGAGCACTTTGGTTGGAAGCTTTGGACGGTAAAGAGCCAAGATTTCCAAACCAACCCGGCAAACCTTCAACAGCAGGTACTGGTACAGTTAATAGTTCTAGACGTAGCGTCACAGTTCAAACTAGATAGGTCTAGACGTAGTATTACAGTTCATACTAGTTAGTTCTACCCGTAGTGTTACATTTCATACTAGAATGTTCTACCCGTAGAGTTACAGTTCTTACTAGATAGTTCTACCCGTAGTATTTCAGTTCATACTATATAGTTCTGCCCGTAGTGTTACAGTTTATACTAGATAGTTCTACCAGTAGAGTTACAGTTTATACTAGATAGTTCTACCCGTAGTGTTACAGTTCATCTTAAATAGATCTAAACGTAGCATTACAGTTCATACTAGATAGTTCTACCCATAGTGTTACAATTCATATAAGGTATTTGTAAATAGTTATTACCACCTTTTAACTATCATGTTTCTGCCGACGGCGGGTAGGTTAAGTTACTTAGCTGTCTTTTCGTGTTAAAGTTTATTAGTTACAATCTAAATTATATATAAATACAATTTTTAAAACTTTTAGAAGAAAGTTACTTGGACGAAGCAGGGTTTACGTTCATGGAGCAGTGCTTTGGTACACTAGAGAAAAGAGGTAATTTTGGGGTAAAATCTTAGAAAATGGAGCCTGGCCCTCCCTCCCCCCCTCTTCCTCTCTTTTCTTAACCTAACCTAATCTATATTAGTGCTGTATGATGTATATCAATACATAGGAGAGATTTTATTTTATTTCAAGTCCAATACTTGATCCAGAAATCTAAATTTTCTGTTGTTTACCTTTTCTTACTAAATGTTATGATTATACAACAATTTTATGCTTTTTTCCGACAGTTTTTGGTTTTTCAACATGTTTATACTCCAGGTTTAGAGGAGGAGGGTCTGTATAGAGTAGTGGGTGTGGCTAGCAAGGTTACCAAGCTCCTTAACTCGGGGCTAGATAAGAGAAAGTTAGAAAAACTAAACCTAGGTTAGTTTTCTACCATACATTTACTTTTATAACAATTTATCGATGATCCTGATTTTTTCGGATTAAAATTTTTAAATTATTTCAATAATGCTGTCGACTTAGAAATGAATATAAGTCAAATTATTGAAAAAAACTCAATGTAGAATTGGAAAATGAAAAATTGTAATTATTATTGATGGTTTTTCAATATCTCTTAACAATTAAGTGGAAGAGTTACAAGCTATAATGCTTTTACTTCGTATATAATTAAGTAAATTAAACTCGAATTTAATGTCCCTGATAGTCTAATTTGATTCTGTTTAAGTCGAGTCCATTTCTTCAATTAATTAATTAAATAAATTATCTTCCCCCTTTCCATTCAGAATACGTTCAAGTGTAAAAATCAAGTATTAAGGAAATTTTAGATATATTTAATTTATTTAAATCTACTTTATCATATTTGATTGATGTTTATTTTTAGAGAATATAGAATCTAAAACTATTACATCTGCAATCAAAACCTACCTTAGAAATCTTCCAGGTAACTTTTTAATTATAAATTTTAGCATTTTAAGTTAAATTTTTTTTTTTAAGAACCCTTGATGTCATTCTCTCTTCATCAAAAGTTTATTGAAGCTTCCAAGTATGAAACCTACTCTAGCAGGCTAGGCGAGGTAGGTTTATTTAAAAAATTATTATTCTGATTAGACTTGAGTGCCTAGATCTGCTAACCACTTTACTGTGGCTAGATCTGCTAACCACTTGACTTGATGTGGTTAGATCTGCTAACCACTTGACTTGATGTGGCTAGATCTGCTAACCACTTGACTTTATGTGGCTAGATCTGCTAACCACTTTACTTCATGTGGCTAGATCTGCTAACCACTTGACTTCATGTGGCTAGATCTGCTAACCACTTTACTTCATGTGGCTAGATCTGCTAACCACTTTACTTCATGTGGCTAAATCTGCTAACCACTTGACTTTATGTGGCTAGATCTGCTAACCACTTTACTTCATGTGGCTAGATCTGCTAACCACTTGACTTCATGTGGCTAAATCTGCTAACCACATGACTTCATGTGGCTAAATCTGCTAACCACTTTACTTCATGTGGCTAAATCTGCTAACCACTTGACTTCATGTGGTTAGATCTGCCACTTGACTTCATGTGGCTAGATCTGCTAACCACTTGATTTCATGTGGCTAGATCTGCTACCCACTTGACTTCATGTGGCTAGATATGCTAACCACTTGATTTCATGTGGCTAGATCTGCTAACCACTTGACTTTATGTGGCTAGATCTGCTAACCAATTGACTTCATGTGGCTTGATATGCTAACCTATATTTAAGAATTTATTTTTTCCCAGGTACATCGATTAGTTCACTGCCTTCCAGCCCTGAACAAGCAGATGTTAGAGCTTTTACTTTCACATCTTTCAAAAATAGTTAGTAAATCAGACAAGGTGAGTACTCACTACTCAGCAGTTCAATCCACAACTCATCGCTGTTAAAATAGTCATAGAAAAAATTGCTAAAGTTAAAATGATACAAATTCTCATTGATTTATATATATTAGGGGAAATCCCCCCCCCCCCCTCCTCGCAAACCCCTGTTCCTTAAAGAAATATCTCCTATTCTTAAAAACAAAGATTGAATGATTCTTATTCTTATTGTATTATGTCTTGCAGGCTCTTTAATCTCCAGAATCCAGCCACTTACCCGTGTTTGGCTCAAGTTTTAATGAATCATATTTGATTTTGACTTTTTTAAGGATTTAGTGCGTATGCATGCCATTGTTAAAAAAAAATTTAAAGGATCGAACGTTGTTTATCAGTTTTAGCACATGTTAAATGAATGGTCTATTTTTAAATGTTAAGTCTCTGGCAGTGATACATGATTGGAAATAATGTGCTTTTATTTTTAAGTGGACCTCATCTTACATGTAACTTTAAACCTCTCTCCTATATTCATCGGTTTATATTACTTTTTTACATCAAAATAAACTTTCACATACTTTTTATAATAATAATGATAAAGCCTTTAATTAAGTATTAGACATATTATAATTTAAACATCCTATTCTAAAAAAGTAAATATTGAGCACATTAATGTCTATTTTCTGTGTTGTAAAAAGCTACCAATTAAAAAAAAATTAAGATCTAAATTTTTTTTAGCGTTCGTACTGTTTTATATACACAATTTATTTACTATACTTACACATTAGATGTTTAAATATTGGGTTCAAAACTTTCTTTGTCGACTTGATCATAAGTTGTATTTTTTTATTATCATTATACATTTCTATGTTCTTACTATTAGTCATAAATTATTTTTTTGTTAAGTTTATGAACGTGAATTATTGAACTGTATATTTAGAATCTGATGACCGTTTCTAATCTGGGTGTTTGCTTCGGGCCTACCCTTCTCAAGGCGGAGGAAGAGACTGTGGCGGCCATCATGGATATCAAGTTTGCTAACGTCGTTGTCGAGATCCTCATACAGAACTGGGAACTTATTCTCAAGTAGGGATTTATTTTTTTTCTTATTTTGATATTTCATTGTTAATTGATAATGGGACTGTAAAAGTATTTTAAATGACTCTCTAGAATCAAGCGTCAATGTGTTATGTCCCGAGTCCCAAAAGCTTTGTGTCCTCAAAAGCTTTGTGTGTAAATATTATTTGAATTCTGTATAGCCTAAAGCTTCCCCAACATTCATGATTTGATTTGATTTGATTTTACCACAGCTTTTTAATTGTCAATGGCTACAAGAACTTTGAAAATTTACATTTTAGTTTTACTATCAAAATGCGATTAGTTTTTTTCTACTTTTTAAGATTTGATCATTTTAGGACTAAACCTGGATCAACCGCGCCTCCTAAACCAGCGCACTCATTCTCCACCACCAGTCTCACTTCTCCCCACTTCTCCTCTCATCCTAATTCTCCTCCCTCCTCCTCTCATCCTACTTCTCCTCCCTCCTCCTCCCATCCTAGCTCTCCTCCTTCCCACTTCACTCCTGCTCCTCATCTAACCTCACCAGCACAGAACTCTTCGCATTCTAATCTTCAAACCTCACCTTCAAGCCGTCCACCTCCCTATATACCCCCTCCACCTCCCTCACAGGTAGTGCTGTCAATCGCTTTGATTCGTTTTTAAAAACTTTAATAAAACTTTAAGATTTCTAACGTGTGTTCTGTCAAAAAAAGATGTAAAAACAATCGTTAAATCATGTTCGTTATTTTGCATATATTTTCTGTTAGGGTCAAAATTAGGTTTTGTGTAATAAAAGCAAGTGTTCAAAAAATTATTTTGTTAACATTTGCTCTTTTTACACATTTTATTCCTAAAAAATATAGGCAAAAAATTAACCAACTTTATGCACATTGCACAATGCACATCACTATTTACAGAAAAGGTTTTTATATAACACCGCCTCCCCTGTTTAGTTAGGACTAATCAATATGAACACTGAGCAGATATGGGCACAGTTCAATTCAATATGAGTAAATCTGAGCACAGAGGGCTTGGTTAGGTTTACATTTTACCCAGTTGTATTAGGAGTTAGAACAGTGTAGGAATTACTTTTAATTTTTAGCAATAATGAAGATTGTTCACAAGTTTATTAGTTAGTTAGTTCTGAATTGAACTTGGCGGTAGTTTTTGATGGTGGCTTGTCTTGATTTCTTTGGAATCAGGGTTGACTGATTATTTGTTTATTTAAAAAAAATGTTTTATATTTTTAATTCAGGTTTCTCCAGGGCCTCCGACTTTAACCACTGCTGTTATTTTTGAGGGACCAAAAATTTTGAATCAAGGAAATCAGAATCAGGTATAATTTTAGACCGAATAGCATTTACCCGTTTAAGGTATTGGACAATCTATTGTAGAACGTGTGACATAACACCATATTAGGTGTAAGATAAGTAACATAACACCATATTAGGTGTAAGATAAATGACATAACACCATAATAGGTATAGGATAAGTGACATAACACCATATTAGGTATAGGATAAATGATATTAGGATAAGTGACATAACACCATATTAGGTGTAGGATAAGTGACATAACACCATATTAGGTGTAAGATAAGTGACATAACACCATATTAGGTATAGGATAAATGATATTAGGATAAGTGACATAACACCATATTAGGTGTAGGATAAGTGACATAATACCATATTAGGTGTAGGATAAGAGACAAAACACCATATATTGTGTAGGATAAGTGACAAAACACTATATTAGGTGTAGGATAAGGGACATAATACCATATTAGGATATTAGGTGTAGGATAAGTGACAAAACACCATATATTTTGTAGAATAAGTGACAAAACAATACATTAGGTGTAGGATAAGTGACATAATACAATATTAAACTAAATAATATTTAGAGTATGAACGGACCCTCCTACGCCACCTGGGAGAGAACATTAAGAGGGAGTCAGGTAAACATTCATAAATAGACTAAATTCATTTTAAAACCAAAATTCAATAATAATTGAAGTCATCATAGAAACTGTATATTATCGAAACAAAAATGAATTTTTGAAACTAAAATACCTTTTTTACTCATCTATAATTCTACATTATTGATACTAGGACACTTATTGAAACTGAACCCGCAATCTTTAACATTATAACTGAATATCTGAGAAAAGAAACTTCTTTTTTGTAAATAATAAAACATCGTTTCGTAAGGTTTAATCCTTTTATTTACAAAAATAGCAGGAATATGGCGCTTTTGATTATCATTTCATCAATCATATTTGTAAATGAGATTGACAAATTAATGCTTTAAACAAATTCAAAGATTTAAGACGACTGTAAAGTCTGTTGATTAATTGTCAATTAATTCCGGTTCTTTGTTATTATGACTGTGTCACTGTATATATGATTAATGTTTAGGCCGGAAGTATGGTCTCTGTTAATAATCCTCCTCCACATAGGTAAATTGTAGAATAAATAATAATAATACCAAATACTAAAAATCATGTACATTTTGAAACTGTTCATCAGTAATTTGCATCATACTAAATATAATGAAATGTATAAAACATTTCTACTTTAATTTGCATCATACTAAATATAATGAAATATATAAAACATTTCTACTTTAATTTGCATCATACTAAATATAATGAAATATATAAAACATTTCTACTTTAATTTGCATCATACTAAATATATTGAAATATATAAAACATTTCTACTTTAATTTGCATCATATTAAAAATAATGAAATATATCAAACATTTCTACTTTAATTTGCATCATACTAAATATATTGAAATATATAAAAAATTTCTACTTTAATTTGCATCATACTAAATATAATGAAATATATAAAACATTTCTACTTTAATTTGCATCATACTAAATATAATGAAATGTATCAAACATTTCTACTTTAATTTGCATCATACTAAATATAATGAAGTATATAAAACATTTCTACTTTAATTTGATCATATTAAATATAATGAAATATATAAAACATTTCTACTTTAATTTTGTTCTTTTTTTCTTTTGTTTACTTGCAGTAGCCAGATTCCTAATTAACTAATGGAATGATTGATTGTTAATTAATTGATTAATTGATTAATTTCTAAGGTCCCCTGGAAGTAGTGTATCTAGTAAATCAACTTCCAGTTCTGTTTCCCCTCAGGTAATATCTAATTTGTTTAAGCCTAGTTTCTTAGTCACACTACTAATGTTCGGATAATGACGACGAACCTATGTTTGTGCGACTAAGAAACCGGACTCTAAAAGGATGATACCATTTCTTCCGGTTTTAAACTTTAAGGGACAGCTGAATATTCAGAATTGTTGCACTCCTGTTGCCTTTTAATTTTTAGGTTAATTTTAGTTCTAAAAAATTCAAGAAGTACAACTTACAAAAAATTGACGAAGAGCCAATATATTTGTGCTATATTAAAGCACAACCATGAAGGGTTTAAACAAAAAGTAAGACGGGTTATAGCAGTAGTAAAATTAGTTAGCAACTGTAAAGTTGTTAAAAATTAATTATAAATTTATTTGGCCGGGTACTTTGAATGATGTTTATTGTGATCGTGAAATATTTATTATTTTCAGCTAAAGTCAGCTGGGGAATTTCAGAATTAACCGGGAAATTTTATTAGGATTAAGAGATTTTTTTTAGGGGACTGGAACCAACCCATCCGGTCAGCAGAGTAGCCCAGCTGTTAGCAGCTCTAACCATCACATGTCACAAACATCTGGCAACCAGTCAGCTGCTGTCAGTCCACAGCAAGCACCTTGGTACAGACCAAACCAAACACCAGTGAGAGCTGTACAACTCCAACAGCATAAACCGGTTCAGTTTGAACCTCGCGGATTATCTCGACAGCTGTCAGCGGCATCTGTTGGCACAACTGTATCTACAACAGCTGGGTCAACAGCCGGCCATGTTTCCGGATATGATACTTCAACAACCCACAGGTTTTTATTGCTGTAAGGGTATAAATTATAAAAAATTGCCCCCCTCCCCCCCTATCCCCAGGGCCTAAAATGATTTTTAAGGATTTTGGGGGAAACAACCTTAACGTAAACTCTTGCAAGTTTCCCGAACATTAAACTCCCTCCTTTTTAATGTTTAACCAAGAAAAAATCATACTTATTCTCTGTTATATAATGTATTTTTAAATTATTTTCGGATATATTTTTTACCCAACATTTTTTCCAATTTTGATTGAACTCCTCAGATTTTCAGCTAATCATTTCACTTGGAATAATTTTCATTTGATTTTCCAAAATTTGTTTTTAAAATGATTTAATATTTTGTTTAGATCAAGTAGTAGCAGTACAGATTCCTTAAACTCTACTTCTAGTAGAGAAGGAATAGAACCTAATCCGAGGCATAGTCAAACAATAGGTAATACAAGGGAGAATTGGGGGAATAATATTTTTATAAGAAATTTTGACTGGAAAATTCATGAAAACGTTAAAAAAACAGTAACACCTTATTCATAACTGTAAACATAAACTTGCTTTGGTGCTGTGTTTGTAAAAACCATGATGGTATGAATAAAAATATTTCTGTTTCCTTTTTAATTTTGTATTTTTGTAATAGTTGGACCTGGGCGTGGAGTAGCTGGTCTTCAAGCAGTAGAGCTAAGAAGGGTTCGAACCCTCTACGCATGCGTCGGAGAACATGAAACTGAACTTTCCTTTGAACCAAACCAAATGATTACTAGTGGTAAGCTCCATATTGAACTTCATATGAATAAAATAAATTATTCTTTAGAATTGGCAAACCCCCCCCCCCCCATCATTTAAATTCCAATCACTTTTTACATCAACATCGATCTCAAAAAATGTTGATATAAATTGAATTTAGTTCGACCATCGTTGGAACCTGGTTGGCTTGAGGGAAACCTGGACGGAAAGATTGGTTTGGTTCCTGAGAACTATGTTGAATATGTTCCATAACATCCGATGGAACAAGTCCGGACGGAACCACCCAACACGACACGGACTAGAAACTACCGGAAGTTTAAACAAACTGGTAAATCCTCCAGTGTTGAAAATAAATCCGGGAATCGCAGTAAATTAAAAAATCTACGAAAAGAGTGGAAAACATTGAGTCAAATTCAAACTTCCTTTGGGGAAAATGTTACAAGGGGATACAGTGCACAAACCCGCAGAGGGATATCTGAAGACGATAATTCAGTTGAATGCAGTACACATCCAGGCATAGTACAGTTTACTGCCGCTAGTGTACATAGTACTGCTGAATCTGGAATGAAATGGATGAAGTGTAAAGTGAAAAGGATTACAAGTGTTTAAAGGGTGTTTGTTATTTATTCCAAATGTTTATGTTACAATAGCAAAGAATTAAAAAGTCCATTTAATAAATGGAAATTAGCTGTTCTCCAACTATTCGCTTTGTAAATACAAGATACTGAATACGAAGACTGAATGTCTAGTTGGAAATATTCGATTTGAAGTAATAATAATAAACTGTGATAATGTTAATATTTAGCCTTGCATTTAAGCTTGGACAAAATACCAGCTTTATTTGCAACCATTAATTAGGTCTGCATGTACTGTACTACTGTACAGTACACACGGTATTCTACATTGTACAGTACATAATTGGTCTTATTATTGGTTGCTAATAATATATTTTTATATATCCTCCTGGAAATGTCGGTATTGTTCCTTTAAACTAAGTTATGAAAAAAGTTATAATTTTGAGCATAGTTGTTAAATAAGTATAAAAATGTCGGGTTTTTTTGTTATATTATATTTTGGAGTTTTGGGCCAAATTTACTGTAAGATTGCACAAACTATTCTACTGATAAAACCAACCACTGAAATAGTCGTAAATTAAATCAAAATTATTGTATGTAACATAATGAGATATATATTAGATTAAGATGAAAATAATTATATGCGTTTATATTTTAATTTTGCATTTATGCGTCATTCCTTAAAATCAACGGTACCTGGCCCCTTCAATTTTTCTGAAGTATTTGGGTTCATTTTTTATCATTTCTATCCAAAATCGAACCATTTTTCTATATTTTTGAGCTTTTATTCTCAAGACATCCCCGTAAATTCATAAACATTGTTTTATGTATGCAGTTTTTTCTAATAGTTTTTCTTAATTTTTTGCCAAAGATTTTAATGATTTTTGTTTTACATTGTAAGTTTGGATTGTCCTAAAATGCTCATATTTTCATAGAAGCAAATATACTGAATCTATTACAGTTTTGTTCCGTGTGCAAACATTAATTATATTTCAGAGAAAAATGGGAATAAACAGATTCGAATATGTAGTTTTAATATTATTATATTCTATTTAAATGTAAAACGAAACCATAAAGTCCTCGGATTTAAAAAAAATCGTGGATTTTCAGATTTATTAAAAATCGAATTTTGTTGGAGTCGATTTTTGTAATTTTGATTGTTCATAAACCTTCCCTGGGGTCATGTGAGGACCCACACAAAGTTTGTGCCCGATCAGTTCTGCCGTTTTTAAGTTTATTCGATACAAACAAACAGACAAGCAAAGTATATATATAAATAAACATTTGATCCAATCTGTAAATAATAAAGGTAGTACAACTTTCTTTCAAACCCTACTTCAAACGTAACGTTAAATTTTAAAATTTAATAATTTGTTGTAGAACGCCTTTTCCCTTCAGAAGGAACTGTATTGTAAGCGTTTTCAGTCGCCATGCCTAGATAGCAATGTCCGATTACGGTACACTTGAAACCTTTATCTGATCAATAATGTTGAATATATTGTCGTTATTATAAGTTTATACGGACAATAGAAATAATAAACATTAATATCTAATTCATACGTTATCAAGCAAAGGTGTTAAGGGTACCGTTAGAAATCTGGCATCGGCGTCTTCGCATTAAAATTAAGATTACAGTCACTATAATGTTTAAAAGAATAGAAGAGATTTGTTTCCATTGTACAGTGACAAATTAGGAGTTAGGACAGGTAATAAACATATATTAGTTAAATATAGGTCGGGTTCACATGGAACTGCAGCAATGATAACCAGAAAATTCTGAAATAGAAAGACTACTTTTAGAATTAAGTTATAACTTTAAAAAGTCCAATGAGCATGAGACAGCTATTGTGCAGTGTAAACTGACCCATTTCACTAAATTAGCTTCAAGTACAACTTTTTGTTTTATATCAACATCAAACACACATAAATACCGCTATAATGTCGTCTTCCTCTTTCATTGCTTTCAGGTTATCACTGTAGCGTTGAACTATTTTTGTTTTTCTTTTCAGTAAAACTAGTTCCTGAGTCCTAAAGTTGCATGATACGTGCCGGTACAACACGTACTGCACATACAATCATACCGTCCACTCTGGCGACCCAGTGGAGAGTCGACCCAACACGTTGTTTTATGCAGCCTGACAAGATTTCAGTGAAAACGTTAAAGTATAATTTAAACCCTCTCCTTCCTTATGTCTACTACTTCTATGCTGAATTATGCCATTTTAAATAACATGTTGATCTTCAAATAGGGAAATTAATAATACTCAAATTGTGTAGAAAATATTTATTTCTGAGGGTTGATCTTTATGAGAAGATCTCGAATCCGGGTTAACCCAACCTTCAAAGCTGCAGGATCAACAGAGAATATTATCCGGAACCATCCTAATTTAAATATTTTTTATATATAAATTTGGCTTGTCTGTCTGTTTGTATCCAATAAACGTCAAAACGGCTGAACCGATCGGGTCCAAGTTTTGTGTGGGACATATAGGGACCCCAGGGAAGGTTTATGAATGATTGAAATTTTAAATATTTGTCTCCATCAAAATTCGATCTTCATTAGATTTTTTAAAATTTTGAAAATCCACGAAATTTTTTGTGAAAATCCGCGAATTATTTTTGTTTTGTTTTACGATGTACACAAAGAGAACATGTTCACAATTAATTTAGAAGATGGGCGCGAAGCGCCCTCTAAGGCTAGTCTATATAAAGTTGAATATAAAGAACTGAAAGTTTTTGTATTCTTATTTAACTTCAATGCCTTTCTAGGTCGACTAGGCCCGCCTAACCAGGATAGGTTGTTATGAGCAAAGAAAATAATCAAAGTTCATATAATATTCAAGGTGAAGAGGAGTTAATTGGAAGGTAAGCCACAGCAATGTTCGAGTCTTTTTAAAATTATTCTTATTTCGAAGACGACTTTCAAAACCACAACGATGGATTTAATAAAGGTTATGTAATAAGGTTAGATACTCTGAATCATGGAACAACTAGACAGGAAGCAGAGTTGACGCGTACGGGCGTCTGATAAGCCGGTACGCGTCGTTTGAAAATGCTCAATGCCGGAACCTTTTTGTACAAGATGCACAGTGGGCGTACAGTGGGGCGCTATCTCAATCTTTTTTGCAAATTAGAAACTAAGTTTGTGCAGCGCCCTTAGCTAATATCATAAAGCTAAAAACCCAGAATAAGAATAAAAAGAAAATTTTCGATTTTGTAAAATTATAATTAAAAACCTTTATTAACTAAACTCAAGTATATGTACTCGGTTACTCGAGTGTCCCAACAAATATTGAATTNTTTTAAGAAAAAACACAACGCGATAGTTGGTCGAAGTCACTATAAATAAACCCACTGTGAACAGTTGATTTTGCAGAAACAGTGTGCGCAACATCTATGATGACCCTAATTCCTACAGGAAGATTGATTGATTATCTTAATTTATACACGTATATACAGCTGTCTGATTAGTAAATCTGAGCCAGGCTACTTAGACAGGGCGGACCGCGCCGACAATTCATCCTATAGTTGATCCATGCTCTGAATGCGCTTCAATACAGGTAAAGACGACCCTTATAGCAATGGGCACTCTTAATCCAAATTTGGCGGCTCACTAAATATGAACAAACTCAAAAAATTTAAAACTTGAATTATAATTTCATTTTTAGCTTCAAACAATTGTTAGCACAATCAATATTTGTTAAATCTGATGATTGTCAGTTAAGAATTAGCGATGTCATATGCGGATTTAGAGTGTCCACTGCAAAAAAGACGACATTTACCTACATGGCAGCGCATCCAGAGTATCTAACCTTATATATAACCTTGGGTTTTATATGTCTAGAAAATTACCTGGAGTGCTGCATCCAAACTCAGTTCCGGGCACAATATAAACCTTAAAGCCAAATAATTTACTATCATGCAGTGAGACCCATAAAATTGTGGAATTTGATTTGAATACGACTTTTCCATTTAAGTTTTGATTTCTAACAAGCTTTTTTCAAATTACAAGTTTACAAGAAAACAAAAAGAAGCTGTTAATTGACAGCTTCTCTATGTGTATCATCCATGCTGGTAGAAATCAGAAATTTAATCGAAAGTCGTCTTCATAGTATTTATATACACGACGACGACTCTTTGTTTTAAAGCTAACATTTTTACTAGTAAATTTGAAAATTAACTTGTTAAGTGAAGTGGTTCTGTGTATACTGTAAAATTGCTGTGCTTTGAGGTAATTGGAATATTTGAAATCTTAACAGTCGTCTTTCTATTCCAGAGTTTAATGGGTCTCACTTTATAAGAAGAGACTTTAGACTTCAATAGAGTAAAGGGCGGAACTTTTAAGTAAAGGGTAAAGCATAGTTCAAGTGGCGGTCAACTTACTCGATGCCCACTGCAAAAACTTTAAAATTGAAGTTTAACGCATTAAATTGTTCATACATGCCAAAATTCGAAGGTTAAAACGTTAAGTGGGAAATGAATCGTTTGAGCGCTAATGTCACAGATTTAATATACACAAGTTTTTCTCTCAGATTTGCCAAACTACGATTATTAGACGATCCTTGTCGTATATATCAAAACAAGGAAGACTAATTTCAATTTTGATTTCCACCGATATCAATCAATATTAATTTAAAAAAGCTAGTTAGAAATCAAAACTTTAAGTAAAAAAGTAGTCTTTAGTGTATTGATATTAACGCTGACCACTGTATTATATTGATAACCATCACTCCAAGTGTTAGCGCTAAACTACATTATAAAGAATTTTCGAAGAACCCTGCATTTAAATTGTTATATTAGTCTTAAATAACTTTAAAATGTATGTAATCTCTTTTATCTTTCCGTTATGTTCTGAAAATCCCAATTTAAAGCTAATAGGATATGAATATTGAACAGTGGACACCTCACGTTACAACATATTGTATACATACTTTTATGTTTTGTTAACTTTGCTTTTTTTCAGCAAAATTATAACAAAATAAGTAAAAAAGTTAGATGTTGTGGAAAAACAAGACATTCATTACCTTCGCTTCCGTGAAGAATTCCCTAAAGAGTTTCATCTCATCTTGAGCAGTAGAACCTCTCAGATAGTTGCTACAACAGAACTTGATACTTTTTAATGAAAAAAATAGTAAATAAAATTTACTTTTACCTGAAATCAACCCAACAGAAAAGTCCAGCACTGGGAGCCATAATTCTAAAAGTAAATGTGGCAATAAAAACCTTTAGGTGCATTTAAATTTGCCCAAATTCGAATTTCCGTATTTTTTGCTATCTTGAAGCACCTACAGAGAAACCCTTAATAACGAATATATCGGAAGAATTTATCAAATGTCGTCTTGACAATTTTTCAATGAGTTTTATACTATAATTTCAGTATTTGAGTAAATATATAGCCATGAATATGCGGGAACAGTTTTAAAGAGTTCTATATAATCATTTAATAAAAAAAACTAAATATCTGCAACATACCATTATGAGAAAGTGAAGAATACGACATTTGATGAATTCTTTCGATGTATTCGTTATTAAGGGTATCACTGTATGACACTGAAATGAGCGTCTTGTCTTGGTTTTTTTATTTTAGATATTTGACCTGACATTAAGATCTTGAAATATAGTTTCAACTGTTCCAAAGCTCTCCCTCAGCCTAAAATGTCCAGAGAAATGAAATAATAATTCAAATATGTTAACTCAATCTTAATAAAGATCAAACCAACAATTGGAGTTTTTAAAACCTGGAAAATGTTACAGTGACAACCAGAAAACAATGGAACAGTAAGACGCCATTACAGCCATCTTTAAGTGTATAAGCAAATAGTTTTACTTAACACTTATTTTGTGACTCATCCTCATTAGATTTTTCTAAGATATAACTTGATTTTAAAAGTCGTCTTCTTATTTCAGAGTTTTTTTGTAATCACTGTTTATTTATTTGGGTGTACTTTAGATTAACAAAGTTTATTTACCTTTTTAGATTTGTTGGAAAATAAACATTTTCCAACCAGTCTTCATCTCTTAGTAGCTTCACACACACCTAAACTTATTTAACATTAACTATATAAATTTTCAAAAAATACTTTCTTATGCTAGATTTAAACTTTTACACGGGGTAAATTTTTGCTACACCGCCTGCAGATACAATTTGTTTTAATTATACTCTTATCTGATTTTAAACCTTTTTTAAACTATGCTTATCCCGCATAGAACAAGCGACGCTGTTTTAGAGTCTGAAAACGACCCGCACGACCACAAAAACGGGCGCCGGCCCGACTCTGTTTTAGTACTAATAAGAGAGTCGTTTTTAGACCGAAAAGACCCTGAATCCGTCTCTCCTCAAAACGGATGGGTGTCGGGTTTCTGTCACGG